TCAAGTTTTTCGATAAATGCTATATTAAGAAGTTTAGGCTCTTTATTGTTGATGAAAATTACCTAATCACATTCTAAATATTTATTAATGTATTTTAAAGTTATTTTCATGGTACATGGACATCATTTCAAATTTTCCAACAGGTAATTTATTTAATCTTCATATACCACTTACTTAGTGGAAAAATACCCTATAAAAAATCTATTTTCTGGAAAAACATAAACACCTAAGGTCTAAAACCTCTTTAACATTCATACTATGTCAGTTAATGATATAAATATGCATTAAAAATAAATTTTTATATTTTTATTTTTTCTAGAAATATGTGGGTTAACCCCTATAGAAAATCTAGTTTTTGGATAAATGCTATATTAAGAGGTTTATGCTCTTTAATTTTGATTAAATTTACCCAATCACATTCTAAATATTTATTAATGTATTTTAAAGTTATTTTCATGGTACATGGACATCATTTCAAATTTTCCAGCAGGTAATTTATTTAAATTTCATATACCACTTACTTAGTGGAAAACCACCCTAATGAAAAAATTATATTTTCTGGAGAAACATGAACACCTAAGCTCTCAAACCTATTGAACCTTCATACTATGTCAGTTACTGATGCAAATATGCATTAAAAACAAAATTTTCATATATTCATATTTTTCTCAAAATATGTGGGTTAACCCCTACAGAAAATCGAGTTTTTCAATAAATATTATATTAAAAAGTTTAGAATCTTTATTGTTGATGAAAATTACTCAATCACATTGTAAATATTTATTAATGTATGTTAAATTTATTTTCATGGTACATGGACATCATTTCAAATTTTCCAACAGGTAATTTATTTAAATTTCATATACCAATTAATCAGTGGACAAATCCCCTATAAAGAAAATTATATTTTCTGGAGAAACATGAACACCTAAAGTCTCAAATCTCTTAAACCTCCATACTATGTCAGTGAATGATGAAAATATGCATTAGAAAAAAATTCATATTTTCGAATTTTTCTCGAAATATGTGGGTCCCTAAAGAAAATCGAGTTTTTTGATAAATGCTATATTAAGAAATTTAGGCTTTTTATTGTTGATGAAAATTACCCAATCACATTCTAAATTTGTATTAATGTATGTTAAAATTATTTTCATGGGACATGGACATCATTTCAAATTTTCCTAATGTATTTAAATTTCATATACACTTAATTAGTGGACAAACCCCCAATAAAGAAAATTCTATTTTCTGAAGAAACTTGAACACCTAAGGTCTCAAACCTCTTAAACCTTCTTACTATGTCAGTGAATGATGAAAATATGCATTAAAACTAAATTTTCATATTTTCTATTTTTTCCTGAAATATGTGGGTTAACTCCTATGAAAAAATCAAGTTTTTTGATAAATGCTAGATTCAAGCTCTTTATTGTGGATAAAATATTACCTAATCGAATTCTAAATTTATATTAGTGTATGTTAAATTATTTTCATGGTACATGTACTTCATTTCTAGTATTTTAGTAAATAATTTAATAAAATTTTATATTTCACCTAATTTACTGGACTAACCCAATAAAATGTTTATTTTCAGGAGAAACATGGACAACTAAGGCCACACACCTCTTTAATCTTAATCATATTCAGTGCATGATGAAATTATGCATGAAAACAAAAATATCATATTTTCTAATTTATTTTGAAATATGAATTTTCCAATAAATGCTATATATACTAAAGTTTAGCCTCTTTCGTGTTATTTAAAAATACAAAAATGCACTCAAAATTTATATTAATTTATGATATGCTTATTTAACTAGTACATGGACATCATTTCTAATTTTCCAACATATAATTTATTTAAATTTAATATACCACTTAATTAGTGGACAAACTCCCAATAAAAAAATATATTTTCTGTAGAAACATAAACACCTAAGGTCTCAAACCTCTTTAACATTCATACTATGTCAGTTAATGATGCAAATATGCATTAAAAATATTTTCATATATTCTAATATTTCTCTAAATATGTGGGTTAACCCCTAAAGAAAATCGAGTTTTTCGATAAATGCTATATTAAAAAGTTTAGGCTCTTTACTTTTGATGAAAATTACCCAATCACATTCTAAATTTGTATTAATGTATGTTAAAATTCTTTTAATGGTACATGGTCATCATTTCAAATTTTCAAACAGATAATTTATTTAAATTTCATATACCACTTAATCAATGGACAAACCCCCTATTAAGAAAATTCTATTTTCTGGAGAAACATGAACACCTAAGGTCTCAAACCTCTTTAACCTTCATACTATTTTTAAAAGTAACTAAAATTTAGATAGATGCACTATTTCAAAACCTGTTTCATTATATAAAGACATTTAAGTTTTTTTTTTAAATCTTTTTTTTTTGCAATAGAAAGACATCATCTTTCACTTATATGAGATTCACAACTTTTCACATTAAGTGAGATTGATATTATTAATAGATAACTCGTACATGAGTTTATAGTCATATATTTATTTTAGTCTATGTTTAAAAATATATATATATCTATACTATTATTTGCGAAGTGATTTTTCGCAACGGAGCTCCCACGTTAAACGTTAGAGTGGTTAATATCATTTATATCCTTAATGGATTTTTATATAATTAAAAACGAATTTATAATAATAATATTAGATTTATATGTTATATTAGATTATTGATTATAAATCAATATGATAATTGTCAAAATAAATACACATTACAAAAATAAGATAATTCTTATAGATATTTTTCTATTACAAAAATTAAAAATTTGATTATAAATTAATATGATAATTGTGAAAATAAATAAATATTACAAAATTAAGATAAGTTTTATAGATATTGTGTTGTTATCTGAAAATAATATTATTTTATTACAAAAATAAAATATAAATGTAAAATAATTTAAAATTAAATATTAATTAATCAATTATATTTGTATAATGATATTTTCTCAAATATTTCTAATATGTGGGGTTTTAGTTCAAATTTCAAGCCAAAATATGTGGGCATAATATATATACTTTGATTAGAAAAATAGCATATATAAATAATTTTATTTAAACTTTTTGAGAACATAAATAATATATTTGTTTTGAGAAAACATAAATAATAGTTTATTTTGTTGAGTTATATCCGTAAGAAGATTATGTCCGCAAGGCGGGCACAACACCTAGTAGTATGTATAACACATTCGTTTATAGTTTTATAATGAACATTTGGATGCAGACAATAAGAAGTTCAGATGAGCCAGAGCCAGCCAAGAACTGAGCCACAAACAAGACCTATTCCTAGAAAAACAACCATGAAGACTGCCGCAAGTTCTGCTTCTGATGCATGGACCGTTTTGGGAGCCATGATCATGAGAACACTAGTGAGATAGCCGTTGGTGAGGCCTAGCATGAACGTCAGAACAACCACTGGCACTTCTGTTCTAAGCCAATGCGGTCCACGTAGACACGCAGAGAAGAGAGGGTAGAAGAGAAGCCTAACGATACAAGCCCAAGTAGCAGATTTTATATTCTGCCATAGATAGAGGGCGGTGAGTGACTTGCCAACGAAATCAGAGATGTTGTACACTGTGATGAGCAAAATAGGATACCAACTCCGGAGAAGTTGGGACTTGAGATTCTCAGCTATAAATCCTGGAAATATCGATAAGGTAACAGTATAGATTATTAGGATACCCGAGGCTGGCCACTTGATCTTTCTCCCAACCATCCATACTGTTAGATTCGAATACAAAGGTTGTTGAAACTTAAGGTGTTGTTGCATCACTGGTAACTTGTATAGCACGTTACAGCAAAGGAGGCAGCATAGTAGGATGGTGGAGCTCACTATGAAGTAGCAATGAGCACTGGTTCGCAGCCCCTGCGGTGTCTGTGCCAGCGAAGCTTTAGTCGTAATCCTAAGGACCGAAACTATAATACCTAACAAAAACAGAGAATACATAGAATAAGATTTACGTTTTACAGCTACCAACAAGAGTACTTAGTAAGTGTATTATTGCTAATATTCAACAAATCTTAGCTACTTACTAACAACATAATGATGCTCTTATATATACATATAGTATTTTATATAGCTATCAACTTTTGTAAAAAAGAAAAAAAAACTAGCTTCAAAATAGTATATGGTGGTCAGAATCAAGTACTTAATAAGTGTTTTACGCCAATTTTAAATTGGAATTAAAAGAGGTTTACCTGAAGAGGCAGTCCCCGCAAAAATGGCTTGCATGTACTGTCTAGGAAGCTTTCCGGCTGAACCGATCAAACTTCCTCCGACCAATCCATCAGCTAAACCACAGAGCACGACTGATCCAACCATCAAGATATAAGAGATATTCCCATTCTTTTCACCTTTCCAAACCCAATCTATGATTGGCGAAACCATTATAGGGATGATGAACATGGAAAACCCCAAGTTCAACCTCAGTCTATAGCTCAACCTTGTGTTCCAAGTCATCATCAAAACGAGAACAAGGACCGAGCAACTCATGTAGGCCACGGTGAAAGTCTTCTCCACATGCTTGTGGGGATACAAGTAGCCAAAGTAATCAACGGCAGTGATGAAAGCGTTCCATGGTATTAAACTACCAGCACCCAACAAGAAATGGATCACGTACGCCGCTCTATAAGCGTCTGCTCTTATCTCAGCTTCATTAACAATCACTTTCTCACCCACCATTATTCTCTCTTCTTACTACTTTTGCAATTGAAAACTTTCTAATGTTGTCTTCATTATAAAAGCAAGGGTGGTGGCGATTTGATTAGATTTTTGTTGTGATGTTTGGTGGTGGGCAGACACACACGAGTCAAATCTTAACATTTATTTATTCGGGATTGTTATTCTTCTTTGATCATATCAGAGCTTAGGCATAAAGAAACAAGAAACTGTATATGGTCATTGGTGGGACACAAAACAGACGGGTTAGAATTAAAGTTACTACTTTGTGTGCATGACATTGGTCGGGGACTCGTCTTTTCTGTACCCTTTATATTCCATTTACTGCATAAACGCAACAAAACATCTATGTATTATGAAGTGAATAAAGAATGATCTAAACCGGTAACCACCAAACCCGGTCTAAACTGGTATATAGCCAGTCAACCTTAATTAACCCGCCAAAACAAAAAGAAAAAGAAACATTTCAACGGAAACTAAAGGACGTTGAAAGCTTCAAGGAACAACAACTTAACCGGAAACAACAAAACAACGATCAAAGGCATGTGTTGAGACGCCACAAGGCGGCTAAATCTCTGCAAAGACTTTCTTCCTGTCTTCATCATCCCTGAGAAATCCTGACCGTTGCTGCCTATGGCAGTCCCGGAGCTCCTCCCGCTTTCTCTAGCCACCAGAATAGGCCGCCAGAGACTCCGAGGATGCTCCCTCTTCAACCTCCTTATCTGACTCACTTCTTTTCTTATCACACTCCTAACCGCTTTCAGATATGAGTTCATGTCATGGTCCCTCTGTATGGTTCCGCTCGACCCGTAAGCTGACCTGTCGCTAAGGATATCCAGAGGATGCGGTGTGTTCAAGAAACCCGTTTGCGCAGCTAGTCTTAACCGCTGTTCCTCCTCATCATCCAGCGATTCAAAATCACCACCGGTTAGAAGATATAAACCATTTCCCGGGGGAAGAAGATGGTGTCCTGGAGAAAAGGACTCATCAGGTTGAAGGATTAGAAGCTCCCCCATGGGAGAATACAGCATACTCTGCTTGTTAAGACAAGGATGGGTACGGAAGTTGCCGTTAACAGCTTTGAGAAGCTCTGCAACATGGTAAGGGTAGTTACAAGAAAAAGCTCTTGGAACAATGTCACGGTGCATTATGATGGCTTGAACATGGCTTTTAGGCAATCCTAGTTTCTTAAGAAGGCGGTCGCCTCCACAGAGTACAAAGGGCGCACCAAATGTTATAACCGGGAGTAAAGAAGAAGCAGGTACTTGGCCTCGAACCAGTAACATGAGGTTTAGTAATAGTGACAAGCTTCCGCCTAATGAATGCCCCGTGAAACGGAACTTGGCTCTGTTTCCATGGGCTTTGATGTGGGATTTGACTTCAGGTAGCATTTGTTCATACATTCCTTTAGCAGCTTCGTATATTCCTCTGTGAACAATCACACCTAGTTCCTCGAATTCAATTGGCTCAAAGAGTAGATTTGCTTGCCAAGAAGCTAGAGACTCAGATCCCTACAAGCAAAATTGATAATGAGAATGAAATCTAGAAAAACTTGAGGATTTGAACCTTTATCTTTTTTATTGTTTTGTTTTTATTACCTGAATGACAAAGAATCTGGTGAGAGTTTGATGATCATCGCAAATAAACCAATCACAAGGAGAGGAGATGGAGGATTTCAAATCGTCAGCAACAGCTTGTTTCACGTCTTCCTCAGCAGCAACAACAGAAGTGACAGAGTTGGTTAAACAAGCAGATGATGACATTGACGATGATTCCTCCTCATCTTCGTTTATGGATGTAGAAGTGAAAGGAAGTATGTTGGTGGTACAAGACTGAAGGTGAGAAGCAGCTGACGCAACAACTTCATATGCAGCAGAAGCACTGATCTTCCGATCGTCTTTGCCTTCAACCTCTTCCTTTGGCTTGTTGGTCTCTCCTGGAACTTGAGCCTTTAACGCTAACTCTGTTTTCTCAGCTGATGAAGTTACGAAGCTAAGGCCGTAATACTTGGAGAGATTCGCAGGCTGATTATTGGAAAATTCCAGACAAAAGAGAATGATTTTTTATCAAAAATACAAAAACCAAAAAAGTCTGAATAATAATAAGCCAATAATTATGGATGAAACCTTGATTGTTGAAATGGAATAAGCCAAGTTTCCCAAATAAGACAATTGGGCATAGAGTTTTGATTCGGACAAGGAGACCCTCTTGAGCAATTTAGAGAATGATTCTCTGTGCAGCCGGACTTTGTTTTCTTCGTCTTCCAGTATCCAACATACATCATCGCATCCACCACCATCTTCATCTTCAGATAATACAGCCTCGTCTAATTCCTCTTCTTCTTCTCTCCACAGAGAGTGAACATCCAACATCTTCAAAATCCAGCTCCCATTTCGCCTCTCCTTCTCCGTCTCCTCCGCCACTGGCTTTCTCGAATCCAACAACAAAACGGCTTCGTCCAAAGCCAAGCCGCTTCGTCTTCTCGACGCAATTCCGCGAGACCAAAAGGGCGTCAATGGGTGCTTCAAAGAGAACCCAAAAGAAGGCTTCCTTTTTTGCGATGCGTTTCCTCTCATTTCAACAACTCCTCCACCACAACCGCTTACGCCGCTTCCAACCGCTTTGATCGCTGGAATTACCCCTCTATTCAAACACATACTATCCATCCTCCTTTTTCCCTCTCTCTCTCTCTTTCCTTATTTGAACAAAAAGAAAAAAAAGCTTTTACTATTGAATTTTGGTTCTCCTTATTCTCACTTTAATTTGTTACTCCCAACTTTAGAATTAATTTCTTTGGGAATGTAGAATTCTATTCCACAAAAGTTTTACAACTCAGAAAAATCTACAAGGCCAGAAAAAATAAATTGTTTATCAACCCAAGAGAGAGAAACTTCTGTGTTGAGATCTTTTAATGCTATATTTTCGTTTCTCTTTTAAAATAGCAAAAACAAGACCTGTCTCTTTCTTTTCTTTCCGATATTTGTTTTTCTTTTGCGCAGAAAAGAAAGAATTAAAAATAATAACAAATATTTTCTTTTCTCTTTTAAAATGAAGAGTTCTCGCCGAATTGCGGAACGTAAAAGAGTGATTTAGTAAACTACCCATATTTAAAATTCAAATTAGCAAAATATCATTGATTGGACATAAAGGACACTGACACAACCATTTGGTAAAGAATTGCCGAGAATGTCATTTCTCTTTCCTCTCATTAACACGAAGCGTAAAAACATTTGTTAACATATAACACTTCTGTTAACGTCTACAATATTTGTTAACAGCCAACACATTTATTAACGCGAAGCGTAAAAATAATTATTAACAGTTAACAATTCTGTTAACGTCTACAATATTTGTTAACAGCGAACACATTTATTAACGCGAAGCGTAAAAATAATTGTTAACACCTAACACTTCTGTTAACGTCTACAATATTTGTTAACCGCTAACACGACGTCGAATCTAAAACCCAGAAAATTGATATCATCAAAAAATTTAGGATTCAAAACCACTTATGAAAAAAATAATGAAATTTAAAATTTAATTGTATATAGAATGATAGAGATTTGTAAAATAATTAGGGATTGGAGAGAAAAAAAAGGTCAAAATTGAGGATTCAAAGCCACTTATAAAAAAATAATGAAATTGAAAATTTAATTGTATATAGAATGATAGAGATTTGTATAATAATTAGGGATTAAAGAGAGAGAGAAAAAGAGAGGAGATGTCAAAGAGAGGAGAGAGAGTGTAGAGAAGGGCAAAATGGTCCAAAAGAAAGTAATTGTCACATCATGGGTAATTCTCTAATTATAGGTGCCAAATAGGACATTTTAGCCAATTATCTCAACGTAAAATTACACATACATTACGTGTAATACGCGTGACTTATCCATTTAACCACGCGGGTCCCATAAACACTGGGGGATAGTCGACACTGGTTCAGACAATTTTGCCGACTTTCAAATTTATGTTTTGTAAATGGGTAATATTATAGTATTTCATTCATAAATGTCTGGAAAATAAGTTATTTAGCTTTTTTTTTTTGAATGAATGTAAAATTTATTCAAGCAAAAAACACGTTTTTACATCAAGTACATCATTTTTTATAAATAAAGTTGAATTGGTTTCGTCTTTAATACCGTAATAAAAATGAAGTTAAATAGGATTTGACAGAATTCAACTTTATTTATAAAAAATGAAAGAAACTGTTTTTTTCTGTCAACCTATTTATGTATTAATATTAAAACCAAGTGACTACATAGTATTGGATGTTACCATCTAGCCTTTTAGCTAATCATCAACCAACAACGGACTACTTCTAGGTACATAACTAAAAGTAAAACCATTTGCTTTTGAAGCATCTAAAAAAGAAATCATTTTAAAAGTTAGAATGCAAATTTCCAACAAATCCACGTGGGACCAACAGGAAAGACTGCCACGTCATAGTGGATATAGGTGGAGAAACCAAGCCATGTGACGTGTTCCAAAATTTTTGGGTTCTATCCAATGGGACACCTGGCATATTAAGAATGCTCTGCTCTTGCATTTAGGTTGTCTTCCACTGTTGTGTGCTTGCATGTAGTCTTGTTGGCTAGCTGGTGAGGTATATGTCCAAAAATGCAAATCCCTAACTACTTGCACGACACTAAAAGCCAGTCTATCGAACATGTATACATTGAAATGATGTAATAAAACCCATTTAAGTCATGGGTAGTCAATGGGCCTTTATTAAACCCAAAACGAAATATTAAAAATAATCTAAAAAAGGCTTTATTATATATAAAGGTAAATAACCTTCGCCGGTGGAAGCTACTCCGCATCTGTTCATCACCGGTGAGTTCCTCTGTTTTCCTTTTTTTTAAAAATCTTAATTCTTGCGGCGATTACATGTGAGCTAATGAACATGGATGATTTCTCTAGCTCTCTGGTTTAGCGGAATTAAGAATTTTATTATAATAGTTGAATTTAGGATGAAGTTTCTCGCTTAAAACACACACTGGCACTAGGTTTTTAGTATTGGACTAAACCTGATTTCTTGGTTTAGGGCTTTGGCTGATTTTCCTAGTGACTTGGGAAGAAGAAGAAGATGAGTAACACACCAGCGGCTGCGGCGTCGTCGTCATCTAAATCGAAAGCTGGCGGAACTTCTCAGGCGCCCGAAAAGCGCAAACCCCTCTTCCAAAAAGAATGTAACATATATTCAATTTTTTATTCTTGTTGCTTATGTGGTAATGGTGAGTGTTTTCTTTATTTTTTACCTTTACAGTACAGCATATGATGTATGGATTTGGCGATGAGCAGAACGTAAGCTTTTCTTCTTTTCTACTCGTAGATAGATATGCCTCTACAAGTAATTAGTTGTTACTTTGAAGGGGGAATTTCATTAGGCTGGGTGATGCATATCGATGTAGAAATCTTGGTATATGGATGGTAAAAGTAAAACTAATGCAAAAGATCCTCTTGTTTTTTAGCCTCTCCCAGAGATTGTCGCTCTTGTTGAAGATATTGTCGTCGAATACGTCACTGATTTGGTATTTTTTGGAGTTCCTCTCATCTTTTTCTTTTTTTTTTTTTAACTACATTGCTAGTAGTTGACTTGGCTTCTCCTAACCTGGAAAGAGATTTGTTTTCTTCTTAATGTCTCACAGACACATAAGGCTCAAGAGATTGGCTCTAAGCGTGGAAGGCTACTGGTTGATGACTTCTTGTATCTTATCCGCAAGGTAAAAATTACTCTCAGGCTGTCTACGGTTCTGTATTCTATGTATGTCTGACTGACTGACTGGTGCTCTTTTTTTTTTTTTTTTTTTGGTTTTTGTGATGCAGGATTTGCCAAAACTTAACAGGTGTAGGGAACTATTGGCCATGCAAGAAGAGCTGAAACAAGCTCGTAAAGCTTTTGATGTGGACGAAGAGAAGATTACTTCACTCGATTGTTTGATCCATCCCTTTTTTTTTTATGAACAAGCTTCTTCTTTTCTTTTTTTTGGGTAAACCTTCTTTCTGAGTGTAAAAAGAATAGAATGACAGATTATTATCACACAAGTGAAACTGAAATTTACCCGACGAGTGAATGTTCTCCGGGCTCCGGATAACGAAACTGCGGCAACTTAATTTTCTAAACGCCAATAAAGTCAACAAATAGAGTGGAATGTGGAACATAAAGTCAACAAATAGAGTGGATGAGTTGTTAAAGAGAGCTGAGAGCTTCACTGTAATTAAATACCTATGATGACCTCAAAAAAAAACATAACACGCATCTGATAGCTTGACACCGCGGATGAGTTGTTAAAGAGAGCTACGATGTCCACCCAAACGAAATGCAGAATGCTCCTGAAACGTTTCTTCAGTCTAGAATCTTTAGAGACGAGTGGTTCTAAACTAAAGACGCAGTAAATGCTAAAAGTGTCTAAACATACTGTTTCTCAATTTAGCTTCGATGGTTCTTGGTAAGAGAAAAACTCTTTGAAACACTGATGAAAAGAGAATAGGTTCTCTCCGTTGTGGATTACAGTTAATGCATGGTCCAAAAAGGTTTTTGTTCTTCAATCAAAGCTGTAAAAATTTATTGGTATCAGATTCCAAAGTGTTTGCTTTTGAAGGTTCTTAATGAAAGTCCTTTAAAAAAGCCATGGCTGTTTCTGTTTCTTTCTTCCACCACTGCAAAAAAAATGCTCTCTTCCTCTCTGGGAATGGAGTTACTCTGTTTCTTCACTCTGCTTTTGATATCACAATCTGTTGCATTGAATATAGCAGAGAAAACAGAAACTGCATGTGAAATGTGCTTAGAATGTGAGAATCCATGTGATCAGCCACCACCTCCGCAAGAGATACTCTGTCCTCCGCCTCTTCCACCACCTCCGCCGCAAGAGATTATCTGTCCTCCGCCTCTCCCACCACCTCCGCCGCCTCCGTTAGAGATTTTCTGTCCGCCACCACCTTCACCACCACCGCCTTCTCCTCCTCCCCCACCCCCTTCACCACCTCCGCCTTGTACGCACTGCCCAATACCACTTCCACCACCGCAGCCGCCGGTTTGCAACGAGTGCGCTCATAATAGACCGAGACCGCCGATCATTATTACCGCAGCAGCAGCAGCGTCAAGGGATATAAGCTTCCTAACTGCTCTTGCCTTCTCTGCTTCATTAATCTGCTAGCGATCTTCTGTCTTTCATGTCACAGCATTATTATTCTTACAATCACTAAGTTAGTGGGGTTTTGAAGAAACTTGTTTGTATTAATCAAATTATCCCATTTTGGTTATTGTCTCAAATTATCAGTCCTCAAATAAACTATTGTTGACTTGTTGTTTTGAAAAAATAGTTAGGTTTGCTAGTTCCTTTACTATTGATTCAATAATTTTACTGTTATCATTGTTTTCTTCAGTGCTTTGGTTTTCCTAGGATTAACTTGCATGTCTAAATACTTTTCCTAATCTTTTATCTGTTCATAAAAATCATGCAACAAAGAAAAATGATGGGCCTAAATTACTTAGGAAACTGTGTTCGTAAAAGAATCTGATTACAACAAAAATGAAGCCAAGAAAGAAGAGCTTCCATGCCTTGCACCACAAACAACAGAAGAAACCCTGAAATCAAGGGAACTGAAGCTGCATAAATTCCTGTTTCCCAGCTGGTATGCCCTGTTTGTAGCCGGAGGGTGAAGAAATGCATATGGTGGGATCATATAACCACACATCATCAACATGTCTTGAAGATATCCTTTTCTTTTTTCAATACGTCTCTTTAGGCCAATCTTCTTGCCTCCGTCTACAATGCAATTTTGTTTGAGTTTACTTGATAGAAACTTTACAGTGAGCAGAAGCAGACATCTTACACTACTGAAAATTGGAGAAGGTAGAGATATCTGAGTTTGTACATGGACTTTTGTCATCAGCCATGTTTGTTGATTAATGATGTATGTGACTTCCTCTGAGAAAAAAAAAAGTAAAAAGATGTAATGGCAAGAGGCAGGTCATTGCCATTGTTGTAATGTTAATCAGCTCTATTTATTATATATGATAAGTTGATAACCAACAAGCTCTTGTCTTCAAATGTACTTGACTATAGAAGATAAGCTTACACTGTGATTGTGCTTTGATGAGAAAAAAACAAGTGCTAAATGAACAACAAGCCCGTCTAGCTCAGTTGGTAGAGCGCAAGGCTCTTAACCTTGTGGTCGTGGGTTCGAGCCCCACGGTGGGCGTTTCAAACGTTTTTAGTCCTTTCTGAAACTTGAAGGACCACCAAATCATTGCAGTTTTGCTGTTTACAAACGTTCAAAGGGTAAGAATCGAGTTTCTGCTAAACTTTTGTTTCTCTTTTGTTCGTTTTAATTAGTGGAAACCTTTCACTCACAACTTCAGAATTTAGTGGACACAGCCGGTCGTTAAAAACAACTTACCACTTCTCTCAAGATTAAGCGAATTAAGCTTGAAGACGAGTAATATTATCTGTTGAAGTGATGCCTCTAAGATTAAGAATAAAAGGATTAAACATTCGCTCACTGTATTGACTGCCATTATAATAAGAGTAAAAGGTTATATATTTTGCAAACTGTGGATAAATTTGATACTTGGGAGGCGAGCGAAGAGCAAAAAAAAAAAACAAATCAACGATTCATCAAATATTGATAAGCTAAAAGATCTTGAAAGCATAAGAAGATTTAACTGACATAATTTTATGTTTTCCGTGCAAACAAAGTATTCCAACAAAGCCAACTTCATAAAACATAAAAAGTTTAAAGTGAGATGATCTAATATAGCTTGATCACTATATCCACGTTCACTTCTTAGACTTCTTCTTCGGTACCCTACAAAAGCAAAGACCCATATAAAGATGAATTAGTACAAATTTAGAAGAAAACTCAAATCTGATATCACCATTGAGATCAGACTTACTCTGCAGTTTGAGCAGTAGTAGTAGTAGCAGCAGTAGCTGGTGGTGGTGCAGTTGCAGGGGCAACATCTCCTCCAGGTCCCTACACCAAAAAAAACCAATGTATAAGGATCCTTAACTCCAACTCAAAAGAAGAAGTATTTTAGAGATAGAGTAATGAGTTTTTAAGTTATAAACCTTAGCAAGACGCTCTTCTCTCCTAGCATGTTTCCTCTCACGGCTAGCCTTGTTCTTAGCCCTCTTAGCCTCAAACTGATCAGACAAAGTCTTCTCTCTGGCCTTCTCAGCCTTGGACTTGTGGATGCTCTCCATAAGGACACGCTTGTTCTTGAAGACGTTACCCTTAACACGCATGTACATGTCGTGGTACATGTGCTTGTCAATCTTCTTGGACTCTCTGTACTTCTTGAGGAGACGCCTGAGAACACGCATCCGACGCATCCAGAGCACCTTAGTGGGCAACCTAGCTTCACGGGTACCCTTCCTCTTACCATAACCAGAGTGACGTCCCTTCATTTTGGCAATCTTCATACGGCGAGCCCTTGAACGAGAGTGGATCTTCGTTGGTTTCCTGATGATGAATCCATCCTTCACCAGCTTCCTTATGTTCTGCCCTACAGTCGATCAAAAAGCAACCTCAGTAATCAAAAAGAAGACTGTTCACTAATCTAATCTCTCTAAAGCTAAGTAGGAGCTGAAGATCGGGAAATAACTTCCAATGACTGATTGTAACTCACTATCCTACTACCACAGAACAAAATGATGAATACAAGAAAGAGAGGAAATGAAACATACGGGAATTGGCCATGGAGATGTCTGAGGATTCATTGGGATCGAGCCATACTTTTCCCTTCCCGCACTTCATCACCGATGCGGCCAGCCGCTTCTGGAGCTTTAGAGCCACCATTTTTAGCTTCTCCTTTTTTCTTTTGGTGGTGGCGGAGGACAAGTCCTTATCCAGAGAAGTTGAGTGTAGTCAGAGTTCATCTATTATATATCAGTTCTCTAGGGTTTATCCTTTCCAACCAATCTCTTGGGCTTTTGTTCAACTAACAGGCTTTCTCTATAGCCCATTATCAGCTTCATGATGATGATATAGCCCATTATGACCTTCATGATGATGATATGTTTTTTTTTTATTAAAAGTTTTAACTCAGTGAGCTTTGTTTGTCTTTCAATTGTTCAAACTGGGGTTTTTAGTGATTTAAACCCCAAACTATTTTTAGATCGGAAGAAAAACCCCCAACTATAATATTATATTTTTAAACCCTCAACTAATATTCCGTTAGTGTATTGCCCCCTCCGTTAACAGTTCCGTCCAAAGTGGATGGCAAAGGTTAACTTGAAACGTCCAGTTTCATTAAAAGATAAAAACGACATGTAGTTACTCGAAAACAACACGACTTTTACCCAAACAACATGCAGTTTGCAAACAACGTCATTTAATAAAAAAAAGAGAGAAATAGAGCTTACGTTTGCTTGAACCCGGGTTACTTGCATTCACAACATGAAATTCACCACTTGAACTAATTATGAATCATTGTTATCATTTAAGTATGTATGTATTTGATGTTTCTTGTCCGTTTGATTTTAAATCAGAATGCAGCTCCGATTAACAAATAATTAAACCTTATCATCACCCACGAGGACGAAAAGGCTGAAGAGATAGATGGTCAGCATAGGGAGAAACAGAGGAAAAACTTAACGAATACAAATTAGAGTAAATTTCAGAACAAGGAGAAAAATTTGTTGATCATCTTTTCATCAGATTCTCTGAAAGTTGAGTTGAAAAAGGTTTCAGGAAACTTGTACAGGTCAAACAAGTTTCGAAATTTTATAGAAATCGACGGCTTCTTCGTCTACTACCATCGACCATCCAGCCATCGACGACAAACAACAAACCCTACCCAAAAAAAAACCCTACCATCATATCAGAGTCGACAAAGAAGCATCAAATACATACAAACTTAATTAACAACAACGATTCTTAATTAGTTCAAGTGGCGAAAGACTTATTGTGAATGCAAGTAACCCGGGTTCGAGCAAGGGTTAGCCCTTTTTCTATTTTTTTTATTAAACAACGTCGTTTGCAAACTGCATGTTGTTTAGGTAAAAGCCGTGTTGTTTTCGAGTAACTACATGTCGTTTTTATCTTTTAATGAAACTGGACGTTTCAAGTTAACGTTTACCATCCACTTTGGACGGAACTGTTAACGGAGGGGCCAATACACTAACGGAATATTAGTTGAGGGTTTAAAAACATAAAATTATAGTTGGGGGTTTTTCTTCCGATCTAAAAATAGTTTGGGGTTTAAATCACTAAAAACCCTTCAAACTGAGATGAATAATAAAAGTCATATATTCCAATGAATTAATTATTGTTGATAAATTCACAAACTAATTAACTCACAAACAAAACAAATGTTTGTAGAAATTTTTGACTTTTTTTTTTTTTGCCATTATTAATAAATGAATGTTTTAATATCAAAAAGCTTATTTGGGACACATTGGGAAACTAAGTTTTCCACCGAAGATAATGTTGGCGTTGTTACAAAGAGCTCCCACCAAGCCTCCCGACGACGAGGGACGTCCTCCTTTGTTACCTACGAAGTTCAAGTTTATGTCAACGATGTTCACTCCTTTGCACGGTACTGTTTTGCTGCACATTATTTGAACTTCATCTTTTGTTATTGTTGTTCCTCTTACGTTCTTGAACAACACATCGCTTATCGCAACGTTTGATTCCTACAAACACACACACACAAGAAAAACAAAAAAATAAGCTGAATGATCAAGTACTAATATATATATATATATAGTACTCACTCCGCCTCTTGAGCCGTAGTTTTGGTCAATGATGATTGGGTTCTTCACATTTTCCATTATAATATCTTCAAAATGAATGTCTGTAGCCTTGCTTGGAGACGAACCACCCCAACTCTTGATTCTAAGACCATTGTCGGTACCTTTCATCGTGCAGCTCTTAAAGTGAATCCCGCTAACATCCTCCTCGTTCGGATACTTACCGAGACTACCAACACTTAGGCCGTGTCCTGGGCCACAAACCACGCGTTCCACCGTTACATTGTTGGAACCACGACCTACAGAGACACAATCGTCTCCTGTCCCTATTGTACTGTCAACGATGCGAACATTGTCCGCATTGCTCAAATGGATACCATCCGTGTTGGGACTTTCAGCAGGGGCAATAATTTTGATGTTGTGGACGTTAACATTCGTAGTTTTCACCAAGAACATGTGGAAGGCCTTTGCATTGACCGAGCTAATGCCGGAAATTTCAAGATTTAAGATGTTTCTGAATTTTAGAGACTGCATGATGTGTACGTACACACGTGTGATCAGTACAAAATATTTATATATAATTAATGATATGTATAAGCTTAATTATATTCATACCGTTGGAGGAAGATTGCAGTCGATCTTTTTTCCACAGCCATCTGCTTTCCATACGGCTTCACCTTTGCCGTGGAATGTGCCGGGTCCGGTGAGAAGAACATTGTCGACATGTTCAAATAAGAACCATTCAGGGGTTGCGTATCCGCTTGGTGGAGCGGTGATTGTGCCTTGAACTTCGACGGTCACTTTGCTCTTGCATGGACCAGCAAAAATTACTGGACCAGTCAAGAACTCTCCTTTAGGGACTAGTAGCGTTGCTGGTACAGGACTGGCACATACTTGGATCCATGTGTTTAAAAATGCCTGCATATTGCATATCGTACAAAATTTTATAAGATACCGTTTATTAATTATTGGATACATGTTTGTTGTCAGAGCTAATCCCTAAAATTAAAGAAATGTCACCTTAAAAGAATTGGTGGCACCATTTCCCACTGCTCCAAATTTAGTAATATCGAAGACCGTACCGGCAGTACCGGCAAGGCCACGGCGGCCACCGACATATTCACCATTAGCTACGCAAGAACCAAACACCAAGGCCATTAAAATTAATGGGCCTACATTACTATGATTTGCCTTGGCAACCAAACTTCTTGCGCCACCCATGGTTATAATATTCTTTTTTTTTTTTTTTTTGTTCTTTTAAATATGTGTTGACAAATTTAAAAGTGATTTGATCATTGGAAGATTCATGATGTTTTATAGTGTTGGTTTCTAAGCTATTTTCAGATTTTAATCTGTTTTTAGAGTAATGGTTTTAGGGAAAATAACAGAGTGTGTGATTCCATCTTTTTTTCCGGATGTTTGACTACCCAATATTAGGTGATATAACGATCTAATTTCACGGTCACTTTGCATGTATAAGTAGAAACAATTCTATCCATTAAGTGGTTCAGAATGATCAGCATGACTCGGTTATGTCTCAGCTAAACATGTTTTGTCCTTTAACTTCGACGTATGAGATATGGTTCTTTGTGAAACATGACAAATTATGTTTCTTTTAATCTCAAAAAGTAATAGTAATTTCATGTTTACCGTGTAATGGCTCGTTGAAGGAGGGGACTGGAGAAAGAAGGATCACGTTTCCGGAAAATCATGAAGGGGCCGAAAGAGAGGCTGCGATTTCTCAAGTATCAGAACCAGGGATTTTCTTGAGTAAAGGCTTAAACGCACTAATTGGTGTATCCATGTCCCCTTAGGCCCTTATCTTTCCCAACAAGCATGGTCCATGTTAGGGATCCCCAATATATACAACGCTAACACAAACTACTCCTTCCCCTGTTTTCCGAAGCTTGAATTTTTCAGAGCTAAGAAACCTCAGTATAAATGGTGCCAGGATGTGAAGTGGCTTCGAGGAGAAAGTCATTTCCCCCAACGAACTACGTCTTTAGCATTTGGTAGTTCAAAATTCATGAGACCTCGATAACCTCAATGAGAGCATTCTGGTAGTGAATGCCATTGGAAGTCCGATTTTCATTTGCATCGTAGTATACTACTCCCTCCGTTCCTAAATGATCCATATTTTAGAAAAATATTTTATTTCTAAAAGATACATATTTTACATTTTTAATGTATGTAATAATGGTAAATTGTAAACTTCAAAAATATTAATTATGTTTACTGAATTTTGATTGGTTAAAAATCATAGGAAATAGCTAAACACATAAAATAATGCATTTATTATCAAAATTTTAAGTGTTTTTTTAATAAGTGTGAAAATTCTAAAACATGGATTATATAGGAACAGACAGGGGCGGAGCCACCGTTACGGTAGGGGGGTCATGTGACCCCTACAGATTCTGATAATTTTTCTTTTTACTTGAACAAATTTTATGAAATATTGAAAATATAGTTTATGTGACCCCTATAACATATGGATGAAATGGAAATGACCCCAGTGAAAAGTATGGCTGGCTCCGCCACTGGGAACAGAGGGAGTATATTCTAATTCTACCACCAAGTCCACCTACAAATTAAACCATGCACAGTCAATAAGCTTAGAGCAACATTATTGGTTTGTCCCAAAATTGAGTCCTCTTAGTAAATTAATTGTTCAGTTCATGGCACAAACTTGTATGACAAAGGTTGTGATTTAGGAGAGTGGAGATAACCCCAGGCTGGAACCAAATCTCTTGTTCTTGCTTCAATCGTTCGAGTTTAGTAGCCGAGAAGGCTGATACATTTGCAGTTATGCTTCAGACATGTACATCTGATGTTTATCCACCACACAAGCCTTTCCTTTCTTAGTCACTTTCCAAGATTCCTCAGCATTCTGCTTCCTAACAATTTCAGGAAACACTTTACTTTTAGAATCAGAAAGTGTTCCACCTCCATATAGTCACTGTGCTGATCTTGCATCTCTCTTCTCGACTGGTTTTGGATCATGGACCACCTTTTTATTGGTTCAATCTCTGAACCAGACTCAAAATCCAACCATTCCAGCAGTTGCAGGGGCATTATATTGTGTCCCTGAGTTGAAATAGTAACCAAAAGCATGCCGCTTGGATCAAAGCACAAAACTGAAATAGGACCTGCAAACACCACAACATAATATATGTATAACGCAAGCATCAATGATAAATCAACTTGAGGAAGATTAATGTCCTACAGCAATCACAACATCTGCACCATTCCTAATAGCCTGATAGAAGCAATAAGATGATAAGAGAATACTGAACCCATCAAAGCGATGAATAGGTTTCCACTATCACTTACCTCTCTTGTAATGTCAATGGCATGAGAAGGACCAGATGTTAAGGACTCACGTATCTGAAGGAAACAAACAACAAGACCTGAAAATCCATTCTCATGACAGGCAATGAATGCATCATGGAATCAAAAGCTCACATTACAGTCTTCACCAAGACGAGACCGAAGGTAAGGAAGCAACTTCTTCCATTCCTTAGCTGTTCTACCATTAGATCTTAATTCAATCCTAAAACCAAGTCAAATTCTATCTCCAGAGAACCACCCAATTCAACTTCGAGAGATTGATTCTAATGTAAAATTCATAACTTTAAGACCTAACTGAGTAAGAGGATAACACACACCTTGAGGGTTCACGACGAAAACGAGATCACAGATGCGGGGAGAGGAGACGGCACCACAACTACCACTGCAAAGGGTGATGCGACCAGAAAAACACGTTGTTGTGTCCTAAGTAGCGGAGGTTGTTTCACCGCGTATCGGTTGCAACTCGGCTCCGGGACACATCATCATCGTCGTTAGGAGAAGTGGAATCCAGGAGAGATCAATAGAGAAATGGAACCCAACTGATTTCATCAATGGAAGAGAGAGATAGAGATGATACTTCGTTGTTTGACACCTGTCCTATAAGGACGTTTTCTCTTGTTCCTTAATTAAGGAACGTCCTTCCAATTAAAAGGTATTTTTCTTTTCTTTTTTAAATTGTAATTGAGTTAAGGACATGGTTAAGGACAACGATAATGTTGCTCTTAGTGACTAGTTACTTACTTAATGGTAGGACAGGTCGCGTTCAGTAAATGGTGATATCAGGCATGCACAATTATAAACCACGCACAGATCATATAGGTTCTGACACTAAAATAAAACATGTGATAAAAAAATCGACTAGATATTTAATGTTTTGCAAATCTAGGTCAGAGTTGGTCGTTTTCGGCCCGTTGTGCCTTGAGATTATTTTCGTGACCGGGTTTCCCATAAATAAATTAATTTTAAACACAAGTATTGCATGTGGCTTTTAAAAATTATCGACAACTAATTAATCAATTATTATGGCTGATCGAATATCAACGGTAACAATCATTAATTGTAATTCTCTATGTACACTGATTAAATGACAACACGACGTCGATATATAGCTTCATTTGCATGAATCGGCATATGAGACTGGTATGGGGGATTTGCCTCGCCAGTCGCCACAACCAGCAACCGTCGAACACAAGTACCCGTGATAAAGACATGACTTGTTTTACTGATGATGGTGCTTGGAATAAGACTATGGATTTGAAAAATCGTTCGTTAACTATGATGAAGTTGAAGTGTTGAACCAATGACTCCAGATGTATATGATTAGTAACGTTGTTTACTTGTTGAATTTACGTAAGTAAATTCTTCATGTAATAAGTAATCTATATATCAGTTACAAAAAAAAAAAGAAAAAAAAAAGTAATCTATATATATGTATGTAGAAAAGAAAAAAAATCTTAACATGGTAACGGTTTCTTCGAAGTGGCCCTATAGCCTAGTAGTAATAAATCAATCATCGAAACGCATATTCATACAAATAAATATAAAATTACATATTGTACGTCCGTATTATATACGCTATGTATTATTATTACGATTCAACATTGCGAACGAACATATGGTTCTGCATTAACAGCTAAGCTAGTTTGAATCGACAAACAAAGTGATCTGGTGCTTATTATATAATCTAGAAACAAACCTACGCGTTTTAAGACTTCCCAAACCAGTTGACTTAGAAAATCATCTTATTCAATATCTTTTATTAAGCTGATATTAATCAAGAATAGTAATAAAAATTTATACTAGTTTTAATAATGGACCTACCTCTCATTCTCGTTATCAGCCATCATCAACACACTCTATAAAAACCCCTAAACCTATAAAGTATTATTCATATTTAACAAAGGAACTCAAAATCCCTGCAACAATTAATGGAATCTCCATTGATGTTTCTCATCACACTATCATTCTTTCTTCAATCACTCCTTGTTGCTTCTCACAACCCATCAAACTCTTCAACAATCTGCAAAACAACGCCGGATCCAAAATACTGCAGATCTGTTTTCCCCCACAGCCAAGGCAATGTTCAACAATACGGCCGTTTCTCAATCCGCAAATCGCTATCGCAGTCGCGAAAGTTCATTCGTACGGTCGATAGATATTTAAAACGCAACGCTCATATATCTCAACCCGCCGTTATCAGAGCTCTCCAAGACTGTCGTTTCCTCGCCGGTCTAACCATGGATTACCTCTTAACGTCGTTTCAAACAGTTAACGTCACGTCAAAAACGTCCTCGTCCTTCAACACGTTATCGATTCCAAAGGCTGAGGATGTCCAAACGCTTCTTTCCGCAGCGTTGACTAACGAGCAGACGTGTCTGGAAGGCCTCACCACGGCCGCTTCATCTTCCGCCACGTGGACGGTAAGAAACGGAGTTGCTTTGCCTCTAGTCAACGACACGAAGCTCTTCAGCGTCTCACTCGCTCTCTTCACTAAAGGTGGGTCCCAAAGAAAAAGAAACGAGCCGGGTTTGCTTGGGCCCACCCGAGATCCGGATCATCCACCCACGCTAAACCATTCCGTCTGTTCCGTAACGGAGCTCTACCGTTAAAAATGACGGAGCGAACGAAAGCCGTATACGAGTCTCTAAGCAGGAGAAAACTCGGCGACGGCGATGGAGACGAAGGAAACATGGTTTTGATAAGAGACATCGTCACCGTGAGCCAAGACGGTACCGGGAACTTTACCAATATCACGGCGGCCGTCGCGGCAGCTCCGAATAACACCGACCGAAGCGGTGGGTTCTTCTTGATTTACGTGACGGCGGGGATCTACGAAGAATACGTTTCAATAGCAAAGAACAAAAGGTACATGATGATGATCGGCGACGGCATTAATCAGACGGTGGTGACGGGGAATAGAAGCGTCGTCGACGGTTGGACAACTTTCAACTCCGCCACCTTTGGTACGTACGTCACACATCACATGTTATCATAAATGTCTCTAGATTTTTTGAAATGTTTTTCTATAATATGCTAATATCTCGAGTACGTCAATAGTCCCTTTATTAAGAGACAAGATGCATTAATTTAATACCGTGTTCATTTTATTTATAGTATATTTATATGGAGTAGTGGCGAGATGCATGCATGCATATAATGTTTTTGATTCAGTATTTAATGAAAACTTGCACATGATGTCTCAGCTGTGACAGCACCGAACTTCGTTGCGGTGAACATGACTTTCCGGAACACGGCTGGACCGGAGAAGCACCAGGCGGTTGCGTTACGGAGCGGTGCAGATTTCTCCATCTTCTATAGTTGTAGCTTCGAGGCCTATCAAGATACGCTCTACACGCATTCTCTTAGACAGTTTTATAGAGAATGCGATGTCTATGGAACGGTCGATTTTATATTCGGAAACGCGGCTGTAGTGTTTCAGAATTGCAATTTATATCCGAGAAAACCGATGCCGAACCAGTTCAACGCAATCACTGCACAAGGCCGGTCAGATCCAAACCAAAACACTGGTACGTCGATCCATAACTGTACGATTAAACCCGCGGGTGATCTTGTTACTAGTAACTACACCGTTAGAACGTATTTGGGTCGACCGTGGAAGGAGTATTCACGGACGGTTATCATGCAATCATATATTGATGGTTTTGTTTAACCGGTTGGTTGGAGAGAATGGAACGGCGATTTTGCATTGAGTACGTTGTACTACGCTGAGTATAACAATACCGGAGCTGGTTCAAACACTACAGCTCGTGTTACATGGCCCGGTTATCGCGTGATTAACTCGACTGATGCAGCCAATTTCACAGTTACCGGATTGTTTCTCGAAGATGATTGGATTTGGAAGACCGGAGTGCCTTACACTAACGGTTTAATTTCATAACAGTTTTTTTTTTAGTTGCTCTATTAAATTCTTAATTATTTTTTATTTTAAATTTGAAGAAAGCAGATATGTATTCTTTATGTTGGAACTGTAACAAACCGAAAACCAAGGTCAATGCAAAAGAAATATAGAGCCTGATATATATACCAAGTCTTGTTCCTCCTACTCAACTGCATACTGTGAACATAGTAATCATAATAATCAACTTATCATCAAGAATGTCGCAGAGAGTAGCATAATATTCAACTTAGTACCCACTTCTTAAGGTCTTGTCTGTGGGTCTTGTTTCTTGATGAATATCGTCCTCAGAAGATCAGAATACCCATTTGTGTCTTATGCATTCCTGGCCCATTAAATACGTAGGTTCAATTGAAAGAGAAGAAGGAGCATCCGGTTTGATTTATTTGGTTCGGGTTGGTATGGTTAACATTCCACACGTATGAGAGAGTTGGTGGCCTTGTGCGTTACGTTACTTACTACACAGCTTGAACAACATTAAAAAAGGATCAACCAAACCTGGTCTTTATCAAACATTATTAGTGCGAGAGAGAGAGAGAGAGATAGTACACACGAATTATCCAAAGCTTAAAGAAAAACTAATCACTTCATGGATCATATAACAACCCGAATTTATTCACATCCAAATCCAACTTAATATTAGTACTGTAAAAATATAAGAAAGCATAGAGCAAGAAGAGAGGAGATCTTCTTCTTTATGGCTCTAACTCCTGCAACGAGAAATTGCGCTGCAACCACGACTATAAGGATTAGCTTGAGCTCCGTTCTGACAATTGTAATAAGAGGCACCTCTTCTCGAGCATGGCACACTGTTCCTCTTCAGAGATTGATAGCTTATATACTTTGTTGTTGCCAATATTCTTCTGCTGATCTCTGACTCCATTTCCTCATCTTCCTCTGTCCCGATACAGTCTGCTATTGAACCGTGGCAGCCTGAGGAGTCATGGACACCGGTCGTGGCCCATTCCAGACCGTTTAGGTCATTGGTGAAGCCGGCTTGGACCAGAACCAGTGAAGAGATTATGAAGAAGCTGAGTATCACAAGGGTAGGCAAAAGAGTAAAATACTTTGCCATTTCTTTCGTTTACTTTTATTTTTGTATTCGCATTGTTGCGTAGGCTTAGGTTTATGTTTATATAGACATGGGGTGTGCTTGGACTACGTTTTTGTTTTTTTTTTTCTTTTTTCTTTTGTGAGTGGTTGAACAATTTTTCTGGTTTTGTATTCTTATCATGTATTGGGATATTCACAGAAAATGCCATTTGACAATGAGATTCAAAAATATTATACATATAAATGATTTATTAAATGGAGAATTGTTGGGAGTGGTTGAATATTTGTTAGAGCCGACACGAATTGTACCAAAACGATTTGATATATATTTGAGTGGTCAATCGTTTTCTTTGTTATCTATTTGAAGTTCTTTAAAAAAAAAAAAATCATTATTATATTTCTTAATGATCTGAAAGCACTGAAACTAGAAGACACTAAGGTAAACTATAATTGGTTTCTTGTTTATATTAAGCGGGAATTTACTCTCTATTTTTTCAATCGATAATTGAGTCATCATCATATTGATTTTAGTATTCACTATCTGCATTTTTTTGTCATCTCTCTCAGATAGGTGCACTTACCAAAAAGGCAATACGTATATTGAAACAAGGAAAATCTATGATTCGTTTTCTCTTCCCCACAACGACTATGAAACGTAGAAGTTGGGACATCGTTATCCCAAGTAGAACAAAGACAATGAAACCTAACCACTCTTTAACTAAACTTAAATAATCGAGGAATTATTAGAGGACACTATCACTTTCTTAAAAATCATGTTTTTTAATTAATGCAATCCACTTTAAAATCTTGAGTTTTTCATTCTCACCGAATCAAAACGCGTTTCATACTTCACAGAAAATCTTTAGGTCCATGAATCAGTCATCATCATCATAAACATGAATTGATGATGATACTAATGAAAGCCAACGACAAGAGGAAGAGTCACCGACACTAACACAAAACCAACTTTCTTTTGAAAAATACAAAATCTTGTCTTCACATATACTATAGTATTTAATCTCATGGAATTGTGTACACAATACAAACAACACACAGTTTTTCTTCGCCTTCTCTAGTCTGTTGTACAAGAGATACACTATGTAAGAAAGCTTCATCTTTCTAACTTGCTTAGCACGTCATCCATTGGCGGTACCTCCTTTGAGATCTCAGCCCAATCTGGCATCCCCTGAAAAACAAAACAGATTTGCTTCCCTTAACATCTCAGATACACAATGGCGCCTTACCATGAGGAGGAAAGGGTTGTAGATGAGACTTACTTTGCCGGATCTGCGGACACGACCATCTAACCGGAGTATGATGTACACATCCTCCCCAGGGACAACTCCTTCAGCTATCTGTTGATCTCTTATCCACCTGAATCAAACACAAACCAAAGGCTTCTTTTAAGGCTCACAAGCAAAGTTAACATCTACTGATCAGCAAAATGAAAGTTTTGGACCTTTCCCATTCGCCAGGCGAAACAATCTCGGACTTGAATCTGATTTCACTTTTCAGCTTTGACTGAGCAACTACCGATTGAGCCCGTGTATCAAAATCTTCCTAACCAAGTAAATAAAAAAAAATCACTGAGAAGGAAGATGAATGTTTCTAGTCGTTGCAAGAATAATCTTTTGCGTTACCCCAATTGAAGGAAGAGATGTAGTAGCTGCTTTTGAAGAAGCTCCAAAACCCTTCTTCTTCTCGATTTCTGGTGTTTTACGTTCACCCCATACCACGGGAACTAAGAGAACACCTCGTCTTAGTAGCTCGGTTCTGAACCTATCTGCCTTTTGCATCGCGAGTGCCACAGTCTCTTTCTTTCCAGCTAGAATAACCTTAACAACAACAACAACAAGTCACTTAAACCCGATTCATAAACTCCAAAAGGCAGTAAAAAAGACTCACAGGGCGAACTGTATCCCTAAGCTGCACAAGTTCGACAACACGGTTTGTTGACAGACGTAGAGGTAAACGAGAAAGAGTTTCGTCTCGAGTAATCTGAACCATTTGTTCTTCCTCTTTCTTGTTCTCCCAAATGAACAATGCAACCAGAACAACAATACCTGTACATACATTGCTGTTCCAGAAGTTTAGTCACATATAAAAAAGAAAGAGAGAGAGAGGAGAAGATGAATGATAAGGAGGACTCCTGAGTCACCTCCAATGTTAATGGCAGCGTTTCCTGTAGTCTCCAGAAGATCTGGAGCTCCATCACCGCCTCTAACTGCCTGAATCAGTCTTGGTATGGTAAAGAGGGTTGAGATACCAGCTGCAGCTGAAAATGCAAAATAGAAGAACTTTCTAAAGCCACGAAAGGGTGCTCGTACTTCGCTGATGAGCTTCAGGTCTCTTCTGAAACTATCTCCAATGTCTTCTCCTCCCAACCTAGCCTGCGCAAGAATTTTTTAGTCAATGAGAGTAGGTAGGTAGGTAGGTTCTTGGAAGAGAGAAGGGAAAAGTAGAAGACCTCTTCTTGGAGCTGCTTAAACTCGGGTAATGCGCGAAAGGATGCTAAGTCAGGATCATTGAGGATTGTGGCAAACTTGAGATTATAATCTCTCAAAGCGACTCTCAAGCAATCAGCAGCCTTGTTTCCTTCTCCTCTACGGTCGAGAATCGAGATGATAAAAAAAATAATCAATCTCATCAGTGATTCTTATTTGTTTCATCTGTGTGGTTAGAGAGGTACTTAGTTACCGGTAGGCATGACAACAAGCTTTGTTATAGTAAGCAGCTTGTGACTCAATAGGATTTGGATCTAAACTCAGTGCTGTTTCAAACTGAACAAGTGCATCTTTCACCTGTTACAACAAAATTAACACAAAAATCACCATCAAGGATTAGATCAAAAAAATTGAGGTTCTGTTCTGTTCGTATTAGTAACACCATCACCAGAAAATATGTTTTCACAAATTATCATCTAAGAACGAATACACTCACTCACCCGTCCTCTCTTAAAGAGATCGAGGCCAGTATTTACGCAAGACTCTGCCGTCAGAGTCAGAGCATCCCTCGGAGGAGAAGCGAAAACAATGAGGTGAGTCCGCCGAGAATAGAAAAGATTCGCGTCCCCTCCTTCTCCTTGTAGGAGTATCCACGGCTTCACTCTCCTCCTCGAGAAAGAGAAAGAAGGTCTCGGGACGCCGCGGCTCAGGAATTGGCGGTTAAGCCACGGAATGGTTGCCACAGCCATTCACTTCTCTTCTCTTCTCCGCTTCCCAAATTAAAAATTAAAAACTAAAACCTTTTTAACTTTTTTTAAAATGGCTTCCTTTATCCTCCTGTGAGTGTTGTCTTATTTCTGAATATATTATTATTTATAATGTTTTTTTTTTTATGAAAAATCTCTATACGTGTCATTGTCTAGTAAGCAAATTTACTAAAACAATTTATATAACAACCCAATTTGTATAAGAAACCATCAAAACCCAATTGTTTTATAGAAAACCTTAGATATATCTCCTTTAAATACTAGTCTCATGTAGTTTATTTTATAAAAATATACCAAAGAAAAAATAAAAATCGTAGATAATCTTCTCTTACAAAATGAAACTGATGATGTCTATATATCCTGGATACAAGTGTAAAATGAGGTCAACAATGATCTACTTTTAAATGATGTTTCGAAGAAAAAATAAATATTGTGAGTAAGAGACTGACGATGTCTATGTCAACATCGTTGGTCTCATTTTGCGTTCATGTTTCTGGGATGTCTATATCAATATCCCGGAAACCAACGCAAAATGAGGTTAGCGATGATCTAGTTCTATATGATGATCCGAAGATAACTCTATAAAAAGGTTTGCAAAATAGATAAGCAATGGTTCTGAAAAGTGAGAATGTTATTCTTGGAACGAATAAAAAGAGAAGGAAAAAGTATACTAGATATAGAGGTAGTTGCCATGTTATTGTAGCTCGTGAGGAAGGAGTAATTTGCTCTGAAACTCATACTTGAATATTGAACTGGGAGATAAGATGTTAAATTTATAACAGTGTAAAGTCTTGGATAGTCATGCTCTTGCCATCAGTAGTAACATGAGGAAGCTGTGGCTGAGCATACTTTGTAAATCCAAAATCAGAATGCACATTAGCGATGGCATTTGCTTGTTGAGTTGATGAAGGATGAGTTGTGGACTGCATCTGTGGCACATGAGATTGAGAAAACTGCGACTGTTGCGACTTTTGGACAGTATGTCCTATCTTCTCACAATGTGTGCACACAGGTTTCTGATACTGATCACCACGAGTATTGTAAGCAGCAATATATTCATCAAGCAATATACTGACCACATTTTTTTTTTTTTTGTATATTAAACACACAAACGTCGGAAAAAAAACGCACACAAACAAAACATTACTTTTAAAAAGAAAAATAATATTTTCAGACAAACACAGAAGACTAATAAGATAAAAGTTTTTTTAATATATAATTGCCAAAAAAATAAATAAATCAATATATAATATTCATTAGGGTCTCTATTAGATTCAGATAAATCTCTTTAAGAAAAAATGAAAAACAGAGCACACAGAGAAGAATTGGCCAATAATAACATATGGCCACGTTTATTCAGACTTTCTTCACTCAAAGGAGGATGTTCTGAGAAGAAAGCCTAGAAGTGATGCCAGCAACCCAAGCACCGATATGTTCATTCAATACCTTCTTTGTTGGAGTATTTAATCACAGGGATATGGCGACCAACGTGAAGTCATCACAAGCCAAGTACTTTGACTCACCAAGCCTAGCTTTGTAGGTTTCAAGCACTTTGGCTAACAACCTTTAACAGCCTCCACTAGAAAAAAAAGAGATGAAGAACACACTTTCACAAGCATTTTGTTTTTACTGATATCGTAAGTACAGAGTTGGGTGACATTATACTTGTGACATTTGTGCTGCGAGTTACATTACGCACTTGAGAAATATGAACAAAAAATAATCATCTCCTTGGTGTTCTTCACCTCAATTTCTTTCCTGTTGAAGTTGAAAAAGCTAATATCACACAAAGGAGTTTAGCGATAAGGAGTCTAAAAGAGTGGAATCAAAACTGACCATGGCGCATGTATACGGACAAAGCACCCGATTTCAATATCAACATCCCCACACACTTTAGGATTAAAGATGACTGTTGTTTCTGTTTCTTTGGCCGCGAGAGCTTGTGTATTCTTTAACAAGAGGGAGTCCTACAAAACCGACTGTGTGTTAACTCAATGCTTACAATCTGATTGATAGATCTTCAACGGTTCTAATTAAAAGATCAAGAGAGAGAAACCCCAGGAAGGTCGATGACAGAGCATTTGCAGACAACGAGCTTTCCTTCCAAGTGTCTTGACACTATTTTTATATCGACATAGCTCGACACATCTGAGTTGTGAAATGAGAAATGAGATAAAGCAAGCAGACAAACTCAAGCATCAAGTAAAAATAGTCATGAATCAGCATCACCTGCTTCTCCGTTTCCGCCCTGCAATTTCTTCGTGATTTCTACTTCCTTCTCCTTTTCTTGTTTCATCATCTGCTGTAGCTTCCCATGCAGGCTAGATCCACTGCAGGTAAAAAAAAACGAGCCCTGATGTTAAGTGATTATGTATGATTCTAAGTGTGGAGTCTGAAAGGTGTTGAGAGTTTGATTACGCAGATAGTTTCGGTGAATCGAATGAAAGACCTTCCTTGTTCAAAGAGGAAGCTCTTACTGCTTCATTAAACAGGTCTCCAACAAATTGTTTCTTCTGGTTGGAAATGTCTGGCACCGAGGTTTGATAACTAGGCTATGTAACACAACAAGAGCATCTGGATTTAGTTGAAGACTGAAAAGAAGAGGTAACTATACAGTATCACAGGGGAGGAAGAGAACAAACAAGACCTCATCATCGGTTGATGATCCAATACTATCCATGGGTCCAGGAAGTTCATCATCAGTATCACTATCTTGGATGTTCCTTGAACTTCCCTTATGAGCAAATTTGGAACATTTTACTTCGCGCCTGCTGTACTGAAGCACAAAGGAGACCAATGAATTGTATAAAAAAAAAAAGAGAACTGAGCAAAGTAGCAGATCAATTATTGCTAATCCACAGGATAAGGAAAGATTACGGATTTTGAGCTTCTTTTAGTCGTCACTCTAATCTTTTCTGGAGGTGGGACTACAAGATTGGATATCGCATCCTGAGTGTTATCTGATATTTCATCAAAACTATTGGGGCATTCAGCTATTGGATCCTCCTCTATGGCGGCCTGATCATCCACAGGCTCAAAGTATCCAACCATGTCACTTATCTTGGAAGACGTTTCTCCATGAGCATGTGAGTGAAACGAAAATTTGGGCCTGACATTATTTTCTTTGACAACTGCATAGACATAAGATAACCAAGTCAGAGATCTAGAGACATGATCTGTTTATGTGAGTTATCATTTCTTAGTGGTGCCAACTTGGGACGGTACCTTTACTGCGTCTCTTGGCTCTGAGGGAAGATGAGAGTGAAGCAATGCCATTCAAATGGAGTAGTGATTTGGCTTCTTTACTTATAGTGGCCCAAGTTGCTACTGGTTCATCATGTATCATCTGAAGGTAAGAATAATCATCGTTACAAAAAAAAACATAACCACAGCTAGTCAATACTTTTAGAAATGTACTAGAGATTGGGATGGTCATGAAAATAACCCAAACGAAGTAAAACATTAGTAGATAGATAGTAACCTCATCACATTCCTGAGCAGCGGATATGCATATGAATCCGTCTCTGGTTGAAGAAGCAAGATAACTCTCCTCAGGGGACTCAGGAACTTGTTCAAGAGAGGAAGATATCTTCCTTGGCTAAGAATAACAGAGTAAAATCTACCATTCAATTCCATTATTTCTCGAAACAACAAGAGAGAAGAAAATAAAAACTCACGGTTGCTTCCAGAGATACATAGCCGGTTTCTTCAGCATGATTTAGTTCACCACCACAACCACCTGGTCAGAAAGAAGCAAGCAAGCTCTCTCTCTCTCTCTATCTCTGTTGAAATGTAAGCAACAAAATACAAAGACAAGAGAGAGAGATACCAATGAGTTTCTCTAGCTTTGTTTGAAGTAGCAATCCTCTTCCCTATAATAGTCAATAAATAATGAAGCCATTAAACTACAATCTAATTGGGCAAAAAAATAAGATGTAGAAGAGATTGAAGATTGCCTCTTCCTTGGTCTTCTTCCCACTTGGGAACAACATTTCTCCCAAGGCAACATCTTCCTCTTCCTCTTCCTCTACACAGATCAAAGAGAAATGAGAATCAGTCTATGGAAAACATAAACAGGAACATCAATCCTCCTCACCAGATATGCTCTGATCATCAGAATCTGGGTTTCCCTGAAAACGGAAAATCAAAAATGAATGAATGTTTAGGAGGAAGAAATCGAAAAGGCTTAACAATTCATTCACAAGGCTGTTTGGATAGTCACCCGTAAGTTACTTATTCGCCTCCACATTCGCCGTCTCGCTCGTCTCCGATCGAATCTCCGACGACAATGTGTCGACTAGCTAGAAATTAGTTAACCGGTCGCATAAAGGAAAACCATCCTAAAAAATTTATATCAGTTTTTTAAACAATTACACAAAATGATTTAATATATCTTAACCAAAATAAATCATTGCAAAACTATTTAAGACTATAATTATATAAATATAAATATAAATCGTAAAAATAAAATCAATTATTTATCTTTATTTTATGTTTAACTAGATTAAAATTTGAATTAAAAAGATTAATAGGCAAATAATAAAATCTAGAATATTAAAAATATATTTTTAAATATGATTTAAGTTTAATTTTTTATTAGGAAAGCACCTAATTATTTACTGGTTACAAACGGAAATCGGTTGTACCTAATTATCACTAATGCGGTTGTGTACTAAGCCAAGTTTTCTCATTTCCCTAAGGGCATCAGTAATGGTGTACTCAAGGCACAATTCTTAAAAATAGTAGTTATAATTATTTTATTTTATTTTTCAGAATTTTTCTTTTTAAATGACCAATCGCATCTTTAGATTATTTAGGTGGAGCCCACAACTAGTTAAGAGGCTCATCAAATCGAATCTTTAGCTAGGGAGTTTAAGGCTTTTTTTTGGCAGAAAAACATAGATAAAGTGAGGCCCACATAATTTTATAATAATTTTTTTCTTAAGCATTTGTGCTAAGGATCATTGTTGTAGATGGTCTAAAATGCATGATGCATCGAATGCAAATATTATCTAGCTAGTGAAAACTCGTTTTTTAAGTCTATTTTCATTACACTTTACTAAGTAAATTTTATACATTTTTTAAGAAACTAGAAACTTTTAATCATAACATCATTTGTTTCCTTTTGATAACTACAAATTTTAAAAATTCTGTTTTTAGATTTTTTTTTTATAATCCTAAAACTTCTTATCCATTTAAAAAAAAATTATACAAATAAATTTAATATAGAGAAATTAGGCTTAATAGCCATAAAAAAAATACAAATTCACTAACTAACCAAAATTACCCCTTCTCTCTTACTTTCTCTCCTTATCTCTCTCTCTCTATCATTTCTCTAAAAATCTAATTTACATTTTTTTTCTTAGTTATATGGTAAATAAGCCCAAATATCATTGCTAACTACACAATTGATTTTAAAAACATGCACATAAAAAAAAAAAAAAACAAAAACAAAACAAAAACAAAAGATGGAGAATAGCGATTATGTTTCATTGGCAACTTTATTATGTCCACCTCCGTCGAACGGTGCTCCACCCCCGGAGCAACAAGAGCATGGCTGGCTGATGACGAAGAACTGGAGTTTGATGGTTGTAAGCTGCCACATTGCCATTCCTTATCTACTCGCCGTGGTTACGACGGCGGTTCCTTTTTTTATGAAGACAAAAGACTACGTACAAGGAGCGTTGGAGTTCATATCAATTTATGGATGTGGTATCCTCGCTTATGCTCGTTCACAGGATCAAAAAGTTCTACCCAGGTGCTTTTGACGCTACTGTATATATTGTGTCCATCATCATTGGATTCTCAACTATCTTCTTTGGTCTTTTGTACTACTCGGTCAAGGAGGTTATCATAGCGGAATGTATTATTGTTTCTTATAACAACAATGGTTAATTAGTTAATTTTAAATTTAATTAAAAAAATATTTTCTATATTTTTGCTTATTTTTTGCATGTTTGTTGCATATACTTATAATTTAATTATTAATGCACCCTTTTATTTATACACAATTGTATGAAAATCATTTTACTCTATATTTTAGTAAACATAAAAATTAATTTGTAAAAACTAAAAGAAAATATAGATTAATATTATATTTCCTTTTATTAAAATAGAATATCCAAACTTTTTTAAAGATATGACATTTTAGTGGATCACCCTTAAATTATTTATCCTAATAAAAATATGTCAAACTATTAATAACTTTTACGAGATGACAAAACAAATTAATAACTTTTATGAACATTAACAATATCACAAATATTTTTGTAACATCAATATTTAATTAATTCATTTAAAATTTTCACTAAAAATACTTTGAATATACTTTTAATTTAGTTATAATTATTTTTTTATTTTACACACTCTTATAAAAATATTTTATCTATATAATTATAATGAATTCTTAAAAATGAAAATAAATTATAAATTAAAGTTCTATCATTTTTGTTGGCTCTATTTCATTTAAAATCACCCAGATTTTTTAAAAGATTTTCATATGTTTGGAATTGTTTAAATCGATATCACAACTCCTCAACTTAACATTCTAACCCTGAAGAGCAGTGTAATTATTCTTTTAACAGATATAGAGCCAAGAGAGAAAATACAATTAAGATAGTCTTTTAAACTTTCTGACCAAAGGAAATGCAATTCTTTAAAGCTAATCAAGGGAAAAACATTATAAATCGTAATTCCAATGGTCAAATAGTTAATTTAAAATTTAATTAACAAAAATATTTTGTATATTTTTGCTTATTTTTTTTCTTATTTTTCATATATTTTGCATGTCTTGCGCATATACTTTTAATTTAATTATTAATATACCCTTTTAGTTATACACAATTGTATAAACATTATTTAACTATATTTTAATAAAGGGTAATTCTTTCAAATAGTCTTTTCAAGTTTTTATCACAAAAATAGTTCTCAAAAAATAAAATGACTAAAATACTCTATTTTTATTTTGAAATTTGTAACATTTATTTTTATTTTTTTTAAAAAAAATTGAAATTCTAAACCCAAAACTCCACCATTTAGTTCTAAACTTTAAGTTTACATTAGTTAACCCAAGAGTATAAATATATATTTACCATTTAACAAAAAACTTCTTTTGATCATTTTCCTCTTCGAGTGCTATTTTGTGAAAATAGACTAAACATACTATCCAATGGAATTTTTCTTTAGTAAATACTAAAATTATTTCGTAAAAACTAAAAGAAATTATATTATAATATTATATTTCCTTTTATTAAAATAGAATCATCTAACCTTTTATATGTAATAGTTTTAGTGGATCGTCTTTAGTTTCTTTTATCCTAATAGGAAAATATGTCAAAATATTGATAACTTTTACAAAGATTAAAAAATATCACGAATAGTTTTGTAACATACATAACTAATTAATTAATTTAAAATTTAACTAAACGAAAAATATATACTTTAAAATTAATTAGAATGATTTGTTACTATACACAATCTTATAAAAATGATTCTATATTTTATAAATATTAAAATGAATTCATAGAAAAAATTATAAACGAAACTATATAATTTTATTTTTAAAATTATATCATATTTATTGGCTATATTCATTTAAACCCTCCCACAGCATTCAAATTATTTTAACATCCCAGTGATAGGTTTACAAGAGAATCTAAACTCTTACTTCACATTCCATCCCAATCAGATGTATACCAAAAACCTGAAAGAGAAAACACCCCAGTGCTCAAAGGGCACTACGAGACCAAACGAAAAGAATCGTATACAAAAAAAAAAGAAGATTATTTGCTGAGATATCCTTTTAGGACCCATAATTAGGGAAATACACATGATGTGACTTAATTAAATATAATGACCAGAATGTCTTTTTGACTCTCTTTCACCACTCTCTCTCTCTTGACACTTTCTCTCTTTCATTCGATATCACTTTCAAATTCTCTCATCATCCTTTTTTGTCATACTCTCTTCTATTTTTTTGTTTTTTTTATCTGATGAAATATTTTTTATCTTGAGGTTTCAAATTATTATTTGCTATATGTAACATTAACAGATGTATTGTTAATAATATATATACAGAAAATAATATGGTGTTAACTGTTAACAAATACATTTACCAGTTGTACTACCAGAAGTATTAACTGTTAACAAATTTTAAATGTTACCAAATGTCTTAGCTGTAACAAATACATGTACCATAATTGTTAATAGATGTGTTAGTTGTTAACAAATTTGTAGATGTCAATACATGCGTTAGGTATTATATGTTAACAAATAAATATTGTCGAAGTTTCAATTTCTCTCTCGAACTGAGTAAATTTATCAGGTAACAAAACATGTATCAGTTAACAAATGAGTTAACCGTTAAAAAAAATTTAACACTAATATCGAATTTATAACAAATTGTAGATTTTAGAGATTTTTAAATATTGCAATCAATTTGTAATTTATATTTTCAGTTATGTTAAATGTTAAATTATTTTATCTATTATAGTTTTTTATATTGTATTTTTTAAAATATTATTATTTGATAATATTTTTAACATTAAAAAATCTAATAAACAAGTGGACAAAAATGAAGTAGGTAATAATAGGTCTGATTTCTCTGTACAATGTGTCAGCTAAAGAAGAGCATTTTGGGCATTTCCAAGCGTAATTGTATAGTTTAGACCATTAATGTCCCATCATGGGAAAACCACTAATATTGACTTCAATTTTGGGCATTTGCCTAATTCTCTAAAAAAAAAAAACATGAACTGCACCCCAACTTTTCTCCTGATTTCACTTGAGCCAACCACCATTTAACTAAACTTCCCGATCCACTACAGAAAGGCTATGTTTATTCATTTTATTAAAAACAAAGAGCTCATCTAACCATCTTGGATGACGATCCCGTTGGAAATGTCCTAAAATCATTTGTATCTACTCTAGTTAAAGTCGCAATGTCGAGAATTGTATAAAATTAGGTGGTTATAATGTTTTGTTAGAAACTGTTTATAATCTATAGATTGAGAACTCATTACTAATTTTATATGATTCTACATAAGGCCTCATCTCTTACACTTTGAGTATGATTGGATAGCTTTTTTTAGAGTAAAATATCTGAATAAAAATTGTTTTTAGCTCAAAAACTTTGGAACTAAACCAGTCAAAATAAAGTATGTGATTTATGTGGCGACACTTTTTTTTTATATATCTTCTGTGGATTTCTAGCATTATATATATATTTTTATATGTAAGGAATTAATAATTTATTCCAATTTCATTTTTTATAATCATTTGGTTTCCACTAATTTTCTTCAACTAAGTAATGCCAACTTTACCAATCACACCCTTTGTGCATTATTAAACCTTGTTTATTTCTTCTCAAAAGGTGCAATATTCCGGTGAAAGTTTGATGGTGATTCGGTGAGAGTCAGGATGCAGCGGCCGTGAGATGTGTTTACGCAAAACCCTAGACGCATGGAACAGATGGTGCCTTTACGTGGGCTGAGTTAATGGGTTTAAGGCCCAAAAATGTTTAAAATTTGTAATTTGAGTTGGGCTTCCTGTAGTTTTGGGTTGAAGTCTCTTGGTTTAAATGCTTTAGTTTGGTCCGTACGTTTCGGGCTTTATGTTTTTGTAACTGGGTTTGGTTTGGGCTTTGACCTATTAATAATATTTTAGATGGAAAAAAAAAAAGGTGCAATATTTAAATTCATGCCCCCAAGTGGTAGTGGTAGACTGGTAGTGGTAGTGCTCTATTATAGGAAAAAATATTTGATTCCCAAAGCTTACATGACACGACGCACCACAAAACATCCGCTGCACCTCTACCTAATTTCTGACGAAAAGCTACTACACGAAATGATCTACGGTCAAATATCGACTAAAGACGAAGTGCACCGTAGTCCTTGCTGCACTGGATTTTTCCCGAAATAAATCTCGAGAGCGCGAAAATTTTAAAATGATTTATAATTTTTTGCATAAATGTCGTCATGTTCGAGAAAAGAAAGGAGGAACACAGTACTGTAGTGTTGGGGGAAGAGGAAAAGCCTAGTCCCTAGCTAGGCACAATCGAATCGAATCGAGACGAGACGAAGAAGGGTCGGAAGATGGAGGGGACAATAGAGCGACACTCTCTGCTTCAATTCGGTCAACTGTCGAAGCTTTCGGAGTCGTCGTCGGAGCTCCGGAATGAGTTGGGTTCAGCTCCGGAAGATTGCGGAGAGAAAGAATTCATTCTCAGCCAAGACTTCTTCTGGTAAATGAGTTTTTTCTTAACTTAGCTGAAGGAAACGTAGAGATAGATTCATCCGAGTTATTGATGAATAATGATGCTCCTCCTCTTACTTTACCAATATCTCTCAGCTTCTTCTGATATATTCATATAATTATTTTAAAATTGATCTTTCAGCACACCTGACTATATAACTCCGGACAATCAGAACTTGATGAATGGTTTAGACATCAGCCAGGTTAACTCAGATATAGCTTTTTATTTTTTTTTATTCCCCAATAACACTCACTCCATTTCTATAACTTCTCTCTTTTTTTCTTTTGTAGGATTATTCTCCTTGTCCTAGGTCACCTGTTAAACTTACTACAGCTAAAAGCAAAAGATGTCGCCAGGGTAAGCTTTTTTTTTTTTTTTGCATTTTCACTCTTTCTCTCAAAGATCATATAAGGTTTCAGCAAAATAAATATTGCTTTGCCTGTTTGTGGTAGAATAGCTCTGTTTGCTTCTCCTGTTTCAACATTTATGTCTTTGTTGACTGAAGCATAGTGAACAATTATGTACATGTATGGTAGTTTAGTGATGTGTTATTCTTCAATTATGCAGACAGTTTCACATTTAATACTTCAGATTCTACCTGGGCTTCAAAATATAAAGAGAATGATGATGATATTGACACAGACGAGATTATGGAGGATAAAACTGAGAGGACTGGATATGTTTCACGGACTGCAGTTGCTTTGCGGTCTCGGGTTATGCCACCTCCTTGCCTCAAGAACCCATATGTGATGAATGAATCCCAGACAGCCACCGACCCTTTCGGATATCAGAGGTCTAAATGTGCTAGTGAGTTTTTCTAAACCCTTTACCATGAGCATGTTTAGTGAGTTATAACGGTTCTTTTGTATATAGATGTTTTAACTTTACTGTAATGCAGGTTTTCTCCCTGCAAGTGTAGGTGGGGATGGCCTCTCAAGATATCTCACAGACTTTCATGAAATTCAGGTAAGCCAAAGAAGGCCCTTTTTATATCTTTGTTCTTTTTTTTTTTATAATATCAAAATCCTACTAAAGTGATGGAACTATGTTGCTGCTTCTAACATAACTTGGTTTGGTTTACTAGCAAATAGGAGCTGGCAATTTCAGTCGTGTATTTAAAGTTTTGAAGAGAATTGATGGTTGCTTGTACGCTGTGAAACACAGCACAAGGAAGCTGTATCTAGATTCAGAAAGGTAATTTTCTCCTTCAGTTTTCATCGTGAAGGAATAATCTTTACTGTATTAAAAAATAGTTCAGCTTGTTGGGATCAGTTTACTCAAGTAATAATAATCAAGTCTACTGCAGGAGTAAAGCTATGATGGAAGTCCAAGCTCTTGCTGCTCTAGGTTAGTAGTACAGTCCCTTGTTTCGCCTTCTTATCCTTTTGCAAGATATTGTCAGCGTGCCCTTCTTACATGGTTTGTATCTTGTTTTGTTGGTAGGCTTCCATGAAAATGTAGTAGGATACTACAACTCCTGGATTGAAAACGAGCAGTTATACATTCAACTTGAACTCTGTGATCACACCTTATCCAAGAAATCTTCTCTTAGGATCTCAGAGCGAGAGATTTTGGTGATTATGCATCAGGTACACTCACTTCCAAAAAAAAAAAAAATTGAGTAGTGAGAGTTTCTTGATTACTGAGAATTCTTGTATACATACTAGTACCAACCACATTGTCTTGTAACAGATAGCTAAGGCGTTACAGTTTGTGCATGAGAAAGGAATAGCTCATTTAGATGTAAAACCGGAGAATATATACATAAAGAACGGTGTCTGCAAGCTCGGAGACTTCGGTTGTGCAACGCGGTTGGACAAAAGCTTACCAGTAGAAGAGGGAGATGCACGTTACATGCCACAAGAAATACTAAACGAAAACTATGAGCACCTTGATAAAGTGGATATCTTCTCCTTGGGTGTCACGGTTTACGAGCTGATAAGAGGATCACCACTTACAGAATCAAGAAACAAGTCCCTCAATATCAAACAAGGCAAACTTCCTCTTCTTCCAGGCCATTCGTTACAGTTACAGCAACTGCTTAAGGTAAGGTCGTTATTTGCTCTGTCAACATTATTGGAACATAGCATTTTAAGATAACATGTTTTTTTTTTTTGAAACAGACAATGATGGATCGTGACCCAAGGCGTCGTCCTTCTGCTAGAGAATTAATGGAGCATCCCATGTTCGATAGGATTCGATGTTGAGATTCATTAAACTCTCTCAGATGTTGAGAAACTCCAATTTTGTAAATTATGTTGGTACCGTTGTAGCTAAACCCGTTCTCCGTTGAACACAAACTGCGTGTCGTTTCTCCCTACCGAGTCTGCCTTCTCGGCGACGCAACAACTGTGGTTGTTTCCGAAACAGAAGAAACGATAGCATTGTGAAAACGAAGAGTTGAGAAAATAGAATGACACAAGATGAAACTGCGAGGCGTAGGTGGGTTTTTGTTTTATATATACATTGCAATTATCTTTTGAATGACACATCATGAAATTGTCCTTTTAATTAGTTACTAGATGATAATCCGCGCGCATGCGTGGGATGAGTTTTATAGTAATATTTATTCATTAAATGTTTTAACATTTTGTAATACTAAAATATTTATCGATTGTAAAATGATGAATATAAATGTTGGTATCTTAAATTATCATAGGTCTGGACATTTGAGACTTCGTCGATTTTGGTTTGATTGATACTTATTTTTAAATTTTGGTATTATGCTCATAATTCTCATTCGGGTTTTACTAATTATCGGATTAGATTCGGTTAGGTTCCTTCTCAATTTAGTTTAGATTAAATTGTAACCAATATCTGAATTCATCCCAAAATGTATTTTTTAAATCTCAAAAGTTGACAAAAAAATTCGATATATTCAAAAAAAATCTTTCAAATACTATAAAATATATAAATTACCTTAACATATATAAAGACGTTAACATATTCTACATATCATAGTTTGAATTTTGGTTTGGTACGGATTATAACAAAAACCAAAAGTACTAAGTTCATAAGTCCAGATCGGATATTTTTGTATAACGGCTCGAATCCAGATTCACTTTTTTTTTTCTGGTTCAGATTTAGGTATGTACTTCAAATTAAGGTAAAATAAATTATTTTTAAGACTTCATATGTACAAAAAGAAAATAATTTTTGCGATAAAATGAAAAAAGAATATTAGGTTTTATGCTCTCGATTTTTTTACTATTAACTCTTCATAAGTAATTTAGTTTTCTACCTTGTATATTTATATCTTAACCTATTCAAGCTAAAATATTAAGATTTTAAACATTTTTCNAGGTAAAATAAATTATTTTTAAGACTTCATATGTACAAAAAGAAAATAATTTTTGCGATAAAATGAAAAAAGAATATTAGGTTTTATGCTCTCGATTTTTTTACTATTAACTCTTCATAAGTAATTTAGTTTTCTACCTTGTATATTTATATCTTAACCTATTCAAGCTAAAATATTAAGATTTTAAACATTTTTCCCTAAAATTTTTAAATTAACATATTTATATATTTTATATAGTATATAATTTGCTTTAAGTGATATTAATATATATACATATATAAATAATATGAATATCTACTAATGAGACTTCATATCCATACGATTTATGATAATTTGTATCTTGCTTGAAAAAAATAAAGTATAGCTCATTTTAATTATTTTTAAACTTCATATGCACAAAAATAAATTAAGTGTTGCGATATAATGACATAAAGGGATTAGGTTTTCTGGTCTCGATTTATTTACTATTAACTTTCCATAAGTGATTTAATTTTTTATTTTGTATATTTATATCTTAACCCAGATAAGCTAATATATTAAGATTTTAAACAATTTTCTCTGAAATTTATAAATTAAAATATTTATATAGTTTATAATTTTATTTAAGTGATATTAATATATATATATATATAATATGAATATCTACTAATAGGACTTCATATTTGTACGATTTATGATAACTGTATCTTTCTTGGAAAAATAAAGTTAAATCATTGATCATAAAATTTTAATGTGAGACTTTTACTATTTTTAGTAATTTATGGTCGATTTAAAAAATTCGAAATATAAGATATAAGAAAAAATATAATTTTTTATAATAGATTTAATATTATTGTTTAATTTATTTTAATAATTTAAAATTAAACAAAAGAGAGAGGGGACACAAAAATATGTATTATTCATAGTCATTAATTGCATATATATATGGTAATCATATTAGTTATCCTGTAGCTTTTATTTAAGGAAAGAAAATATATGTTTTATACACTATTAATTATTTTAATAGTTAGTTTAATAAAAAGTATAGTATATATTTATATGGACCAACTAATTTTTCTAAGGATTCTAAGAATGATTCTAGTGATGACACGTGGCTACAAAAATATGTTGTAATGTTCCAGGATTAATATATAGGGGATGCTTTTGCGCAACAAGTTGAATACGCACACACTCAAAAGAACAAACTGAAAATCAAGATGAGATACGTGTTTGAGAATATGTGCAAATGGTGTTGGTGCTAAATCTCCCATGCATGCTAATTGGCTATAAAACCAAGATTCACAAGAATGAGATTGACTCTTTAATCAGCCTCTCCTCGCTCCCACTAATGGTAAATACAACATTAAAACTCAGTTTACTGGTAATAAAGGGCACGTGGCGTATTTTTTCACCGGTAAAAAATTACAAGAATAGCGGCGACATGCATGCTAAAAATCAATGAACACCAAAGAAACTACATTGGCGAAACAAACAAAAAATATAGGAGTAGACAACAAAACAAACAAAAACTAAAAAAGAAACAGAGGAGAAAAAAAGGAGACGACGAGGAAACAAGAACAAAAAAGATAAAAACAACCCTCTCGTTCTTCCCTTTTCTCTCTTCACATCTTTATCTTTATCATTAGTTTTCTTAATTTTTTTTACATATACATTGTAATAAATCACAAAAAATGGGTTCAAGTAAGCTTAAACGAGCCATAGGAGCCGTGAAGGACCAAACCAGCGTGGGTCTAGCCAAAGTCAACGGTCGCAGCGCTTCTTTATCAGAGCTTGACGTAGCCATCGTCAAAGCGACTCGTCACGAAGAGTATCCAGCGGAAGAGAAATATATCAGAGAGATTCTTAGCCTAACTTCTTACTCACGCAGTTACATCAACGCATGCGTCAACACGCTTTCTAGACGTCTTAACAAAACCAAATGCTGGACCGTCGCTCTCAAAACCTTGATCTTGATCCAACGTCTCTTAGCAGAAGGAGACAAAGCCTACGAGCAAGAGATCTTCTTCGCTACTCGCCGTGGGACAAGACTTCTCAACATGTCTGACTTTAGAGATGTTTCTAGGTCAAACTCGTGGGATTACTCTGCTTTTGTGAGGACTTACGCCTTGTACCTAGACGAAAGGCTTGATTACAGGATGCAAACGAGACATGGGAAACGTGGAGTTTACTGCGTTGGAGGAGGAGATGCCGTGGAAGAGAAGCAAGAGGCTGATCTCTCCACGGCTATAGTGGTTAGGTCACAACCCATCGCCGAGATGAAAACAGAGCAGATTTTCACAAGAATACAACATTTGCAGCAACTTCTCGACCGTTTTTTGGCTTGTCGTCCAACAGGTAATTGTATATAATTATATTAAATCACTCTTTGCTTTGTTTCTTGTGTAACAAGTTATATATTTCTAGGGAGCGCGAGGAACAACAGAGTTGTGATTGTGGCTCTGTATCCGATAGCGAAGGAGAGTTTTAAGATATATTACGATGTAACTGAGATAATGGGTGTTTTGATCGAACGATTCATGGAGTTAGACATTCCTGACTCGATCAAGGTCTATGACATTTTCTGTCGTGTCTCGAAACAGTTTGAAGAGTTAGACCAGTTCTATTCTTGGTGTAAGAACATGGGGATTGCTAGGTCTTCAGAGTATCCAGAGATAGAGAAGATCACACAGAAGAAGCTTGAACTCATGGATGAGTTTATAAGAGACAAGTCCTCTTTAACACAGACCAAGCAATCAAACTCTGTTAAATCAGATGATGATGATGATGCGAAAACAGAGGAAGAGCAAGAAGACATGAATGCGATCAAGGCCTTACCTGAACCACCACCAAAAGAAGAAAAGCCTGTAGAGGAAGAAGCAAAGGAAGAAGAAGTGAAAAGAGAGGAAAAGAAAGAAGAAGAAGTTGGTGATTTGCTGGATCTTGTGGATATACACGGCGATGTCGTAGCTGGTGCAGAAGCTGGAGATAGCTTAGCATTGGCTTTATTTGACGGCCCTTACGCGAGTGGTTCCGGTTCAGCGTCAGGTCCTGGTTGGGAAGCGTTTGACGATGATTCAGCGGATTGGGAGACAGCTTTGGTGCAATCAGCTACAAACTTATCTGGACAGAAGACGGAACTCGGAGGAGGCTTTGATATGTTGCTGCTTAACGGAATGTATCAGCACGGTACTGTGAACGCCGCGGTTCAAACCTCTACGGCTTATGGAGCCAGTGGAAGTGCAAGCAGTATGGCATTTGGTTCTGCAGGAAGACCATCAGGTTCTGTTTTAAGATTCTTTTATACCTTTGCTCTGTTTTTACGTTTGCAATTTTTTGACATGAATGTTCTTTTTTTGACATGAATGTTATTTATCGAATTACAGCAACGATGCTGGCACTTCCGGCACCAGCAACGGCTAATGGAAGCAGTGGTAGCCCGGTTCCGATGGATCCATTTGCAGCGTCGTTGGTGGTTGCACCGCCACATTATGTGCAGATGAATGATATGGAGACGAAACAGAGAATGTTGATGGAAGAACAGGTGATGTGGGATCAATACTCAAGAGGAGGTAGACAAGGACACACTAATTTAAGGCAGAACCAAAACCAACCTAGTTACCCTTACACGCCTCAATACTGATTCTGCACCATGCAACAGTTCATATTGAGTTGTGTCAGGTTTTTTTCTATAGATCATTCTTTCTTAAAAATTCAAACATATCTTCTGTCCTTGGGTCAAATTGATTGGGGGGATATGTGAGGTTTGCTTATGTAATTGTAATCTCTGAATTCAACTCTACAAAGATAAACTTAAAAAGTACTGTATGTTTTGATGTCAGATAATATCCCTTGTACAAGCTCTAGCTAGTGCTTCACACCGTAGCTAACTTTTTGACTTGCCTGCAAAGAAATAAAAAAACAAAGAAATTTCATCATAGAGATTACTCAAATGTCTTGCCTGAAAACTCACAAGCAAGAGGTTCTTTCTCTAGCAAACTCTGTTACTGTCTTGTTCTACTAAACTGTAACCCTTGAAATGTAGCCAGCCATTGGAACCGAGACTCTCAGCAAAACAAACCAAAAACATTGCTAATGGGCCGATACGCGTGGCCCATTAGCTTACCTTAAACGTCATTTAATCACAAAACAGCTTAAACCCTAACGTCACTTACTTTCCGTCTGTGTGTAACACAATGGAGGAAGAATCTCATATCGAACAAGGACAAGAAGAAAGGCAGACCAAACTCGAGGTTGCTCCTGCATTGATATCCCTTCATCCATTTCAGAAGTCTGTCGCTGTCACTGTCGGGTCGGATCTTCGTGTATTCGATCTTATGTAAGCTCTCACTGATTACTTCAAATGAAGCTGATTCAAGTTCGACCTTGAATCACCAATATACAATCTTTAAATTAAAAATGATTAAACTATGAATTAGCAATGTTTTTGTTATCTCACTAAATGTTTTTTTTAATCCAGAAAGAATCGTGCAGTTAGTTTGGTGGATGAATCTGATGGACCTTCTCATAAGGATTCAATTAGAGCTATTCGATATGGTGCAAATGGGAAACTCTTTGCATCTGCAGGCGATGACAAGCTCGTTAAGATTTGGTCTGCTGAATCTTGGCAGTGCCTTACCACCATGTAAGTTAGTAACAACGTAGTACTATTGTAGATTAGGCTCCAAGAATTGTTCTTCTGTGTTTCTTTAAAAACCAACTTATATGGCATAATCTTATTATATAACAATTAATAATGGCAGATGTTCTGAAAAGAGAGTTACCGCGGTTGCTATAAGCAGCGATGATTCATATGTTTGCTATGCGGACAAGTTTGGTGTTGTGTGGGTGGTTGAGCTGGATGGGATCAATGAGGCTAAAGTTTTACCTAACAAGAAGAAGGGTGTGCAGCTGCTTTGCCATTATTGTAGTATTATTACTAGCTTGGTAAGATCAAGTTTGGTCAAGGAGGGGTTTGTTCTTGTAATAAACTGAAGTTTTACTTTTACTTTCTCACTCATTCTGATCTGTTCTTGTTCATAGGAGTTTTCCCCAGATGGTCGATATATTCTTAGTGCAGATAGGGACTTTAAGATAAGGGTAAGCTTGCCTAGTCCACTAGTTACAGTGTCATGGTTCTCTTTTGTTCGGATTATTGCTCTTATAGGAAATGATTATTTCGCCATCACAGGTGACTGTTTTTCCTAAGAAGCCTCTACAAGGAGCTCATGAAATACAGAGCTTTTGTCTTGGACATTCAGAGTAAGTGAGAGTTTAAAGCAGCAACATGTAATCGAGTGTTTCCTGATACAAAATGAAAAAGGTTGTAATCAAATACTTATACTTAGCAGCTCATGCATCTTTTTGTCTTGATAGGTTCGTCACCTGCATAACCTTTGTTCATAATCCAGAGCTTACTCAAGGATACCTCATGTCTGGAAGTGGTGATTCCAGTGTAAGTGATATTGAAGTCTCTATTAATTTTATAGTTTAGACTCCTTGACTGCTACTGATGTTGGAACTTGTTTAGGTTCGACTGTGGGACATTACATCTGGATCTCTTCTGGACACATGTGACGTTAGTCCAACGGTAAAAATTTCAGTCCTGCATTCTGCTGTCAACTAGTCACTTGGAACTCTTGGTTATGTAGTTTTGACATTCGTTAGAGAAATGACTTTTTATTGATGTTTGCTTATTGAAGGTGAACCATTTAGAGTCTAATGAAAGTGAGCCAGCGCAAGTCACAGTTACCGATATATGCGCACTCCCAAATTCTTCTGTTGCAGCAGTTGCTATTCAAAGGCAAGTCTCTTTTTCTTTTCTTTTAAGGCATGCATACATTTCTTAAAAGATATCAAATGTTTGATTACTCGCACTAATGTTAAACGCAGCTTTCAAGGAGTAGCATTGCTAAACTGTGATTTATCAGCCCATACTCTCTCCATCACAAAGGTATGTCACTTGTTAGCAAACCATGTAAAATGTACAACCACTGTTTAACTGTGTAAAACTATATATTTTAGGTGATTAAAATCCCTGGAGAAAGTTTCATCCCAACAAGTATCTCTTTCTGCACATCGACAAGGTTACTATGGATGGTATCAGGAGCCTCAAATGCTTCGAACCATCCTGGTTATACAAGGGTTCGTCTCATCTCGTGCATTGAGAATGAACTATCTTCAATCCTTGAAGATGAGCAGATTCCTGGAGGGACAAAACTGTTGGAGCATTTGCAAGGTAAAGTTTCAATAGAAGAGAGTGTGATGAGTGCTGCAGCAGAAGCTGTGAGGGCATCAATGTGCAGCCTGTTGATGAAGAAGCAATACACTGAAGAGAATAGAGAGTTCAGGAAAAACAACAGAAATGATAAGAAAACCACACAGTGATTGTAGTGTGCTAAACTGTTTTCTGGCGTATCATTAATGTTATTTTGTGACTTTATATCATTGTACAACGAGAGAGAGAGAGAGTTGATAATTGAATATTTTTGGATAAAGATAATCATACACAATCTGGACCAATGGGATTACAAGTTTTGATTCCCTCTCTTTTTCTTACCAAATAACTAGCGTAAGTTGTTTCAAGGACAACAGAGTCAGAGATTCATAAAACGTCTGAGGAAGATTTAAAAACAGCAAAGATGCAAAATCACTAGCTGTCGTTCTGAGAAGGCATGAGGCGGAGTCTCTCTTCCGAAACTTGTGCGCGATCACCACCAAAATGCCTCTCTTCAGCGAGCAACGACTGTAAATCACTTCCGTTGGCTAAGCTATTGAACTCAACGGCTTTAGAAGGCATAGTTGGGTAACGTCGTTGGCAGAACGTCATCAATCTTTTAACTGACTGGAGATACTTGCGAGTGGTTTCGTCGTTCATGATGTGAGCAACACTGTTGGTGTGAATCTTCTCTCGCGCAGAACGCTCGTGGATACCAACCATAGTCACACCGATGGGCCATGGTGCGTTTCCTATAGCTAGTTTGATGTAGTGATCCATTGCCGCGAGGTAGGCTCGCTTAATGCAGTGGTTAACCATCACCATTAAAGCTTGACGAATGTCAGATGGCAAACCCTGCAATTTGTAAGCAAGCCATCACAGAAAAGATCAACAAGTGGCGGCAGATTCTTTGTTAGTAGGAACGTTAAAGTGAGATCTGAATGATGCTTTGATCAATGATTCTCACTCTTCTTTGGAATATAATTTCTTTTTTTTTTGTTAAGCTATTTTTTTTTAATTATAATACTTTTTAAATTAATCTTATGTGGCAGTTTAATTGGTTTAGAGAAGATGAATACCATTCACCTCAGGGGGTGAAGGCAAGTTTTTTTTCATTATTTTATTACTTTTTTTTTTCATTACACTTTTCACTTCATAACATCGATCATATGTTCTTCAACCCCATTGGTTTCTTGGAAATAGCTTCCAAAACACACCTGACATGAGACCAGCGGCAATAAATCCTGCTATGAGAGATTGCTTGACCGATAAAAACGAGAGACCGAAGAAAACAGTTATCAAACCTGTCGAAATGCACAATATATCCAGGCATGCTGTCACAACCTTGCAGCTGAAACATTTTGACAATATAAAAGTCATACAGTTATCAAACCACACAATGATTATAGTTTACTGAATTGTGTTTCTGGTTTTTGATTAATGTTATTTCGTTTTGTAAATTTATATTATTGTACAACGAGAGATAGTTGATGAGAATCGAAATTTAATTAAACAAAAATATTTTCTATATTTTTGCTTATTTTTTGCATGTTTGTTGCATATACTTATAATTTAATTATTAATGCACCCTTTTAGTTATACACAAGTGTATGAAAATCATTTTACTCTCTATTTTAGTAAACATAAAAATTACTTCGTAAAAACTAAAAGAAAATATAGATTAATATTATATTTCCTTTTATTAAAATAGAATCATCCAAACTTTTTTAAAGATATGACATTTTAGTGGATCACCCTTAAATTATTTATTCTAATAGGAAAATATGTCAAAATATTAATAACTTTTGCGAGATGACAAAAAAAAATTAATAACTTTTATGAACATTAACAACATCACAAATATTTTTGTAACATCAATATTTAATTAATTCATTTAAAATTTTCACTAAGAATACTTTAAATATACTATAAATTTAGTTATAATTTTTTTTTTATTTTACACATTCTTATAAAAATATAATGAATTCTTAAAAACGAAAATAAATTATAAATTAAAGTTCTATCATTTTTGTTGGCTCTATTTCATTTAAAATCACCCAGATTTCTTAAAAGATTTTCATATGTTTGGAATTGTTTAAATCGATATCATAACTCCTCAACTTAACATTCTAACCCTGAAGAGCAGTGTAATTATTCTTTTAACAGATATAGAGCCAAGAGAGAAAAAACAATTAAGATAGTCTTTTAGTTTTTTTGACCAAAGGAAATGCAATTCTTTAAAGTTAATCAAGGGAAAAACATTATAAATCGTAATTCCAATGGTTAAATAGTTAATTTAAAATTTAATTAACAAAAATATTTTGTATATTTTGCTTATTTTTTCTTATTTTTCATATATTTTTGCATGTCTTGCGCATATACTTTTAATTTAATTATTAATGTACCCTTTTAGTTATACACAATTGTATAAAAATTATTTAACTATATTTTAATAAAGGGTAATTCTTTGAAATAGTCTTTTCAAGTTTTTATCACAAAAACAGTTCTCAAAAAATAAAATGACTAAAATACTCTATTTTTATTTTGAAATTTGTAATATTTATTTTTATTTTTTTTAAAAAAATTGAAATCCTAAACCCCAAACTCCACCCCTTAGTTCTAAACTTTAAGTTTACATTAGTTAACCCAAGAGTATAAATGTATATTTACCATTTAACAAAAAACTTCTTTTGATCATTTTCCTCTTTGAGTACTATTTTGTGAAAATAGACTAAAAATACTATCCAATAGAATTTTTCTTTAATAAATACTAAAATTATTTCGTAAAAACTAAAAGAAAATATATTATAATATTATATTTCCTTTTATTAAAATAGAATCATCCAACCTTTTATATGTAATATTTTTAGTGGATCGTCTTTAGTTTCTTTTATCCTAATAGGAAAATATGTTAAAATATTGATAACTTTTACAAAGATTTAAAAATATCACGAATAGTTTTGTAACATACATAACTAATTAATTAATTTAAAATTTAACTAAACGAAAAATATATACTTTAAAATTAATTAGAATGATTTGTTACTATACACAATCTTATAAAAATGATTCTATATTTTATAAATATTAAAATGAATTCATAGAAAAATTTATAAACGAAACCATATAATTTTATTTTAAAAATTATATCATATTTATTGGCTATATTCATTTAATGTTTTTGGATAAAGATGATCATACATAGTCTGAACCAAATGGGATTACCAGTTTTGATTCTCTCTCTTTTTCTTACAAGACCACCCCGGTTTCAAGAACAACAGAGTCAACGTTTCATAAATATCTCAGAAAGATTGAATACAGCAAAAAAACACAGTAAAGATGTAACACTAGCTGTCGTTCTGTGAAGGCATGAGGCGGAGTCTCTCTTCCGAGACTTGTGCGCGATCACCACCAAAATGCCTCTCTTCAGCGAGCAAAGACTGTAAATCACTTCCGTTGGCTAAGCTATTGAACTCAACGGCTTTAGAAGGCATAGTTGGGTAACGTCGTTGGCAGAAAGTCATCAATCTTTTAACTGACTGGAGGTACTTGCGAGTGGTTTCGTCGTTCATGATGTGAGCAACACTGTTGGTGTGAATCTTCTCTCGCGCAGAACGTTCGTGGATACCAACCATAGTGACACCAATGGGCCATGGTGCGTTTCCTATAGCTAGTTTGATGTAGTGATCCATTGCCGCGAGGTAGTCTCGCTTAATGCAGTGGTTAACCATCACCATTAAGGCTTGACGAATATCAGATGGCAAACCCTGAAATTTGTAAGCCATCACAGAAAAGTTTTTAAGTACATGAGAAACAGATTGCTTCATGCTATTCTACGCCTTAAATGTGTTATGTAGCATTAGAACTATTGAAAGCTCGTTCTTGTCACCATATCTGAAGCCAAAAGAACCTAAGCTAATGAAGCCTTGAACTATCTCACAACTATGTTTGGTTAAACTTTAGGTTATGTCCAACACCTTAAAACATAGATAATCTTCATAACAATTTGCCACCTTATATAAGTGCACACAACAAGTCTACGAATGATCTTATTACCAAAACATTTCAAACCCAAGCCAGCAAGCAAAGGCAAGAACTTGTAATAAAAGGGAAAAGAATAGTGCTTTATACCTTCTTCCTGCATAAGTTGAAGAGAGGGGTAAGGTACCTAGCACACTGCTTAAAAGTGGCAACATTCTTCTTCCCTTTAGCAGTTCTCCTCTCAGTGTTCTCCACAGCATCAAGCTCCTGTTTCCACTCAATCAAGAGCTTCTTGAAGAAGACAAGAATCTTATCCTCGTCACAAAGATCCTCGAAGTTAGACTTCAAACGCTTCAAATCTTTATCAGCATCAACATCACTAGACTCACCGCCACTACTAAGCTCACCATCCCTAGTCTCCCCACCCACTCCTCTCTCACCACCTTCCTCATGATCTCTACCTTTCCTCTTCCTATCTCCCATGATCCCACTCTTCTGCCTCTTCTTCATCTCAGATATGTCTCGCAGGAAATCATTCGTCTGCCCATCCGTCACGTCGCTGTCTACCTCGAACAGCCCTTCCTTCAACACGTACTTGAGCCGATCGAGACGAGCTTGATCGTCCTCCCCGAAGAGAGTCATCGGCTGCTTTAGGATTCTCAGTCGTCGAATCACTTCTTGCCTCGGGAGAATTAGGGTTTCGATGTTCTTCTCGTCGGTTAGGGATTTGGAATCGGAGATAGCTGCTGCGGCGTCGGATTTGGAAGCTGTAGAAGAAGAGCCAGGAGCAGATGAAGCGATTGATGATTTTCCACCGGAGCTAGCTGCTGACGCGGCGGCGGCGGCTCTACGCTGGGCCTTGAGCTCATGCTCGCGTCGCTCTTCCTCACGAAGCTTCTGGAGTTTCTTCTGCTCGATCTCGGATCGCTTGTAGAACTTCTTGCCGCCAGCTTCCTCGGAGAGACTCTGCCTTTTCTTCAGAATTTCTTGCCTGAGTAGATCCATCGGGAGAAGGTTTCTTCAATCGAATCGTTTGGGTTCTATCCGGAGATTGATTAATTGATTGGTGATGTATAATTAAATAGCTTTTTACTACTCAAACAACAATTATATAATGACGTAATCCTTGTCTTAAGCCCAAATGTAAATGGGCTTCATTAGAATTCTTCTAGTTGGCCCATTTAAAACAGCTCGCTCTTTGTTAATAGTTTCGTCGTTCTTGTTCTTCTGGGGAAGGGAAAGCTTGGGAAAGGAAGATGACGACGATTCGTAGATTCAGCTGCAACGACCTTCTCCGCTTCACCTCTGTGAATCTAGACCACCTCACTGAAACTGTAATCCATTCTTCTTATCTTATTATTCTTCTTACTAAGTGGTTGATTTGTTTCGTTTATTGGAACAGTTCAACATGTCATTCTACATGACCTACTTGGCGAGATGGCCTGACTATTTTCATGTTTCTGAAGGTCCTCCTGGCAATCGAGTCATGGGTTACGGTAACTAGTTCTTCACTTTCTCTCTTCCTTTTTGAGGCTTCAATTTGTGTTTCTCTTTAATACAAAACATTCTGTAATATTGTCCTGAATCTTTGCCATGTTCTGTTTTCTTTGGTGTCCTGTTACTTGACTGGATATATATTTAAAACTTCTTCAGTTGAAAATTTATGTATCTCTTTTGCGCACTTGGGATTCTAAATGTCAAGTGTCTAATATACTCTATATATGCTGGTTTCAGTAATGGGTAAAGTTGAAGGGCAGGGTGAGTCCTGGCATGGTCATGTGACAGCCGTCACTGTCTCTCCAGAATATCGCAGGCAGCAACTTGCTAAGAAACTGATGAACCTTCTTGAAGATGTCAGTGATAAGATGTAAGGCAAGCCCTTCCTTAACTAAAACAAAAGCACCTCCCGGTTTTAGTGTTATCTTTTGATATGGATCGTTATGGTTGAATAGAAGATGGAATCCCTTAGTATACTGATATTGGTTTCCAAAGTAGGCCACTGATTTTGTGAAACCCGATATTTAGACCAAGGAACAAAACTCTTGACTTGCTGTTTCATTTTAACTCACTGCCTTTTGTTGTTTGATTTCTCTTTCTCTCTGGTAATGCCTGGTCTCCTTAATGACCCGTTATGCTCTGTGGATGACAGTGATAAGGCCTACTTTGTGGATCTTTTCGTGAGAGCTTCTAACACACCAGCCATCAAGATGTATGAGAAGGTGAACTATTACTTCTCATGCAAATAATTAGAAGCTCACACAGTTGATGAAGGAAAGGATAATTGTATTGTAACTTCTTCTTCATACGAGAGACTTGCACATATATTTTTCATGTGTTCTTACATTGTTTTTTTGGCAGCTTGGGTACATAATCTACAGACGGGTTCTACGCTACTATTCAGGGGAGGAAGATGGGTTAGGTAAGAAGTGGCTTTGTTGATCCCTTCTCTCTAATCTATAGTAGCCTTTACTTGATGATTTAACTAAAGCATATGGGGGGTTTGAATACACACAGATATGAGGAAGGCATTAACAAGAGACGTAGAGAAAAAGTCTGTGATTCCTCTCAAGAGACCCATCACTCCTGATGAACTTGAATATGATTAAGTCTACCAATGTCTTTATATTCCTTTTGTTCTTGTCATGTTTTTTTGTAATAATAATTGTATTAAACTTTTATATTTCCTTCCACACAAATTTTAATTTTAGTTTTAGTTTGATTATTTCTTAATGTAATGGCGCGGTCTGTCGTTATAGTTTTTGTGATGGGCCAAACGGATATTTTAGAGATAAGAAAACTAATCAGAAACCACAGACCAAATCTCTCACTCTCTCTCCCTCCCTCACGATGAGAACTCTACTCTCTTACCATCAATGTGTGACGTCACCGTTACTTATCTCCGCTTCATCTCCTCCGTTTCCTCCCCGCTGCATTCGGTTATCATCCTTTTCTCCTCCACGTCACAAGCGTCTCTCATCTCTCTCAATCAGAAACGCTTCGCATGAATCCGCCGATCCCTCTATACCGCGAACTCTTTATCCAGGTGGTTACAAGCGTCCCGAACTCTCTGTTCCCGGTTTACTCCTCCGTCTCGACGCCGACGAGGTGATGAGCGGGAATCGTGAGGAGACTCTTGATTTGGTCGACCGTGCGTTAGCCAAATCGGTACAGATCGTCGTGCTTAACGGCGGAGTTAACGCCGGTAAGCTCTACGAGGCAGCTTGTTTGTTGAAATCACTTGTTAAGGGACGTGCTTACCTCTTGATCTCCGAACGCGTTGATATCGCTGCCGCTGTTGGTGCCAGTGGTGTCGCTCTCTCCGACCAAGGTATATATATAGCTCTATATCTTGATTTTCAATTTTAGCCTTCATGTTTTAACAAATTGCGATGAACAGGTCTTCCAGCGATAGTAGCGAGAAACACTTTGATGGGGGGTTCAAATTCAGAGTCCGTAGTTGTTCTCCCTTTGGTGGGTAGGATTGTGAAGGATGTTGATTCTGCTCTCACTGCCTCTACCTCTGAGGGTGCTGATTTCCTTATACTTGGAGCATCTCCTCAAGATCAACAACTGCCAGCAGATTCTTTGTTCAAGAGTGTCAAGATACCCATTTTCGTGACTTGCATGAGCAAAGGAGAAGCTAAGGAAGAGCTGCAGTTACTGAAATCAGGCGCCTCTGGTTTCGTTCTATCTTTGAATGATCTGCGCTCTTCCAGGGACGTTGCTCTTCGCCAGTTTCTTGATGGAGGAGATTCTTCTTATGTTAACGAGAACGAAACACCCCTGACTGAGGCTAGTGACCTGCAGGAGAAAAAGAATGCTGCTGCTGGCTCTGTAAAATTAGAGGACAAGCAGAAACAAATAATAGAAATGGAGAAATCAGTTTTGAGAGACACTATTGAACTTATCCACAAGGCCGCTCCACTGGTGATTATTATTTACAACATTTGGTAGTTCATTTTTCTAAAATTGGTTCTAAACTAGATTTTCTGCGACTATATAACATGCTCTAATTTGCTTCTCGGACTGTTTTCAAATAACAGATGGAAGAAGTCTCCCTTCTGGTCGATGCAGTTTCCCGGATTGATGAGCCGTTTTTGATGGTTATAGTGGTAATTCTGCACTCAACTCCGTCAAATTGTCGTTCCAGGGATATTATGCATTGGTATTAGCTCTATATTCATGAAAAAACATTTCTTAGTAACACACTTTTACCAGCACTAGATAGATCTTTACTAGACAATGCGCATGCTTTTAAACTCTACTCTTTGATAAAGAGCTTAGTTTTCTCGCTTTCTTGTGACTTGTGAGTATGCTCTTCTCCTACCTATTTAGTGGTTAGAAGATTTAAGAAATCATCAGTAGCATGTTTTGCTAAAAACATTGAAGCGTTGCATGGGTTTAGTAGAGGCTTCCCACTAGTTTTCTATCTATTTCTGCTTTAGGTTTTTGAAGCAGGGAAATTAGCTTTTATGATTCAAAAATAGTTTTTTTGTTTGGATAAGCATTTTACTGGAATTCATAACTTGGTGGTACTAGGGGGAATTTAACTCCGGAAAATCAACGGTTATCAATGCACTTCTAGGGAAGAGATATCTCAAAGAAGGTGTAGTCCCCACCACCAATGAAATCACTTTTCTGTGCTACTCTGATTTAGCATCTGAGGAGCAACAACGTTGCCAAAGGCATCCAGACGGCCAATACATCTGCTATCTTCCTGCACCAATACTTAAGGATGTGAGTCATTCGAAATTCTGCCATTGAGTCCTGGATTTTCTAATTATTTGGAGGATTGATTTAGGTTGTTCTCTTTTCGAGCAGATTAATATCGTTGATACACCTGGGACTAATGTGATCCTTCAAAGGCAACAACGTCTTACAGAAGAATTTGTTCCACGTGCAGATCTTCTTGTTTTCGTTCTTTCTGCCGACCGTCCTTTAACGGAAAGCGAGGTAAGATTGCCTGGCATGTTAGTTATTGTTGGTTTTACGCACTATGTATCTCCCTAAGTAGTAGGTGGTTAAATATTTAGACCAACAAGACTTTGTGTAGTGAAGTGGAAGTTGTCACTTGTCACTAGGTTAACTGCATATATCGATTTAGTAATAATATTAAGAATAAATTTAAATTCTCTATCTCGGCAGTTTCCTGCTGTCATTATTGTTCTGTAGGCTGATATACATGTCATTGTGTTTGCCAGGTTGCGTTTCTCCGGTATACCCAGCAATGGAAAAAGAAATTTGTGTTTATCCTGAATAAATCTGATATCTACCGTGATACTCGTGAGGTTTATCAGACACAAGATTATATCCAATCATTGATAGTTTATGTTGTCTTTTTTGTTGACTACGTTTTGATTTTTATGATGCAGCTTGAGGAAGCTATCTCGTTTGTTAAAGAAAATACGCAAAAGTTGCTTAATACAGAAAATGTGATATTGTATCCTGTGTCTGCACGGTCTGCTCTTGAGGCGAAGCTTTCAACAGCATCTTTGGTAGGCAGAGATGATCTAGAGGCCTTGGATTCTGATTGGAGAACCCAGAGCTTCAATGAACTTGAGAAATTTCTGTACAGCTTCCTAGATAGCTCAACTGCCACCGGGATGGAGAGAATAAGGCTTAAATTGGAGACGCCTATTGCAATTGCAGAGCGTCTCCTTTCTTCTGTGGAATCTCTTGTTGTACAAGATTGCGTAGCTGCTAGGGAAGATTTGGCTTCAGCAGACAAGATTATCAATCGTACTAAAGAATACGCACTTACGATGGAATATGAGAGCATATCTTGGAGAAGGCAGGCTCTGACGTTGGTATACATTCTATTAGCCTTATCTTGTTGAACCACGTAGGAGGAAATTCGGTTTTTCTAACTTGGATTTTTGTCGTGTTCTATCCTCATATCATGATTGCAGATCGATAAGGCCAGATTGCAAATTGTTGATCAAATAGAATCTACCCTGAGACTATCAAGTATTGATCTTGCAATCTCTTACGTGTTTAAAGGAGAAAACTCAGCCTCTGTAGCAGCTACATCCAAAGTTAATGGGGAAATACTCGCTCCAGCACTCTCAAATGCTCAAGTAAGTCTGTTACTCCAAAGATCATATACTCAGATCTGAGATATAGTTTCTATTCATGCATAAATTAAGCAGTGTCTTTCTTCTTGTTTTGACCCGATGCTGGTGTCTGGCTACTGACCATACCTTATTTTTTGAATACTTTACAGGACTTACTTGGAAAATATGCTGAATGGCTACAATCAAATACTGCCCGTGAAGGGAGTCTGTCTTTGAAATCATTTGAAAACAAATGGCCACAATATGTCAACTCAAAAACTCAACTGGGCATAGACACATACGACTTGCTTCGAAAAACTGATAAATTCAGCTTGAAAACCATCCAGAATTTGAGTGCCGGAACCACATCAAAACGGTTGGAACAAGATATTCGTGAAGTGGTGAGTCTCGAGTATTAAATTCCAACATTTTTTTTTTTAATTTGCTAGAATTCAGAGTGTCTTTATCTCTGTCATCGTTAAATTGGGTTTATCTGTTCATCCAGATACTATTTTAGATTTTTTTCAACAATCAATGATGTGATTCTTCTGACATATGACTTTGTTTGCTTTGTTTTTTAGTTCTTTGTGACAGTTGGTGGGCTTGGAGCTGCAGGACTTTCTGCATCACTTCTAACCTCTGTGCTACCCACCACATTGGAAGATCTTCTTGCTCTTGGCCTTTGCTCTGCTGGAGGGTAACCACTTCTCTGAATTTCCCATCTTTCCCGTCGTCTCATTACTCCGCTTTCCTGTATCACATAGTGTATTTTTTTGTGCAACCAATGAGATATTATGATGCTGTAGAGAGTAGAGACACTATTAGTTGTATATAACATAATCTATGTTGGCAGGTATGTGGCTATCGCAAACTTCCCATATCGCAGGCAAGCTATAATTGGTAAGGTGAATAAAGCGGCTGATGCGTTGGCTCAGCAACTCGAAGATGCTATGCAAAAGGATCTTTCAGATGCAACGAATAATCTAGTAAACTTTGTGAATATTGTTGCCAAGCCTTACCGCGAAGAAGCTCAGCTACGGCTTGATCGTCTTTTAGGCATCGGGAAGGAATTATCAGATATTAGGAGTAAATTACAGTTGCTACAAGTTGAAATTGATAACCTTCATGTATTAAGATGAGACTTTAGTTGCCCCAACAAAATGTCATTGACATTGTTCACTGGGGACAAGTGTATGTGTTGTCATACTGAATAAGACCTACCTGTTTCAACGAGTGAAATGGAGTCAGTTTTATAGAATGCGAATTGAGAAGATAGACATGACACTCTGGTATAATGTTTTGTGCTTCTTTTCAGATTGTTTGTGATAAATGTGAATGGATATACTGGAAGCTCAGGAGGCTCATGGAGAGAATATTCTTCTATTCTTTGACATGCACATGTACCTCATATTACAGGTTAGTATATTAGTTGACTAATTTTCCAATTAGATTATTTTTTTGTTCTTCTGGAGTACATGAATAGCTTGAATACATTCATATGCAATCGGGTTTCCGCATAGAGCATCTAACTTTGTTGTTAATGTACTAATCTTTTGACTTAAGTGAATTAAATATGTATAAAATTCTTAGTATAGGTTTCCATGGGGAGTAATCCTCCGCATATGCTAGCTATGATTTCTAAAGACAAAAGCGCATAAATTTCTTTTCTAGGTAAGGATTGGCTCGAAAGTTTTAAAATCCAGAATTAGTGGAATAAACCTTAGTTAATGCTTGATACTGGGAATTACTTAGAATTAACGTTAGTCTAACATTATACAAAAGCTTGTTCATAGGCTCCTTTTAGTTCTCTAGTCGAAGTCGTAGGCTTTAACTAAATGACATGTATGCTTGCTAACCAAACCTTTTAATTATTTTAAAAGAGAAAATATTATTTAAGTATGGTCAAAAGTTAGGGAAAGAAAAGAAAATTTCCAGTTGACATGTTTTTGTGTAAGCATGAAATAGATTCCACCTTCCTTTGTTGCTAAAGATCATAAAGTTGAAATAGACTTTTACAAAAGAATTATTACTGTAAATTTTAAAAACAAAGAAACTTGAAGGATCTAGCTTTGGATTGTCCTTTTCATTTGGGGACCAGAAGTGGGATGATGATGCAGAGAAAGCGTACTTTGCTTTGGTTCTTGTTTCAAAGTTTCTCTTCCTTTGATTGGTTAGAGGAAAATACGGAAGATATGCGATTGGTGAATGCGAAATTTCATATGGCCAGGGAGAAAATAAGGTACAAATTCTGCTCTGTAACTTTGCTTAGCACTAAGTTACTACTCACGTTTCATCTCAAAGCTTTTGTGGACCTTTCATTACCAATAGAAACTTTTGCTTTCGCAACACATGAAGATTTGAAAAGTTTTTCTCACTTAAAATGGAAACTTCTTCTGCTACCCGTAGCTTTTTAAAGTACTGCTTCCATTAACTGAATAGTTTTAATAGACATCACTACTGATCACCTCTATTTGTATGAGACATGCTTATTGTCTATTTGTTCTTTAACTGACCCTACATCTGTTACTTCTTTGAGAACCTTTGTGCTTGAGGCTCTCTTCTCTATTGGAGGATCATCTCTAACCCGAGAGCATTGATTCGTGCTCTGAAAACACGTAAAAAGACAGGAACATATCCCCATAAGTTTTCTATTACAGGGCAATACATGTTTTGAAATCTTTCATTACGTTTGAGGTGTAAGATTAATCATAAGAAGATAGCTTTCGGTTTTCGCATGGTGTCCTTCCTTTTCCTTTGAATCTGGTCACAATGTACTAAAGTGTTAGGAAACTGTCAATATGGTATTCGTATTGATAGATGCTGCAAAATCAGAAACACAATCTCAAGGATTCGGACATGTACTATTGAATGGTAACTAGTATGTTGCCGCTTTTGTTTGGTTATGGACTTACTCCTTACAAAATTTCGAAGCAAATACACTGTAAAAACCTTGAATACAGTTAAAACCAGTTAGGTATTGGATAAAAGAAGTCAGACACTGTATATATCGTTGTTATTAAATTTGTAATTATATTTATGGTTCATGTTTGCATTGCAGTTGCAACAGCAAGTGTAGCTAAAGGTCCCAGGAAGGTTGTGGACTTGAAGCTCTTGCCTTTTGTGGTTTCTTTCTTTTCAATTATTGATTTTGGAAATTTTCTTACAGAAGGGCAGTTTGGTTATCATTTCCATTTCTCCTTTGCTTAATTCTGTGATTTGTGGCGAGGAATAGGATCCACCTGTTAAATTGATGCAAGTTTTAGTCTCTTTTTAATCACACTTACTAAATAAAATAATTATGTGTTTTAACTTTAAGTCCAGCATATTCAAAGATACTTGGGCAATTAAAAATCAAGATAAATGTAAAAAGCCATTTTCTCCATAGTGCTAGCGCTTAATAGGACGAATATGCGTTTAAGGGCTACTGAAAAAAAATGTTTAAAACGTCTAATATTCTACGTCTCATTAAGCTTTCCTCTAAGTATATAACACAAGTAAATCTTATAATTCCGTTCTTCAGATCCTATTGATTTACATATTACAAGATAATATGAACTTATGGGATATACATGATAATATCCGTTAAACCAAACAGAAAGGGGTTAGGAGATGAACTGGCATAAGTTGGATGGTATATTAACGGGTTAATAATATATGTTCGTGTAATAAAGGTTGGAGAAACAATTAAAAAAAGTGGCCAAGAAGAATCCAATGGGAAGTTGGACTCAGCACTATAAATACTTGTTCACCCCTCCCTCTTCTCTTTCACATTCATCCCTCTTTCCTTTTAGTTACCTCTTTTCAGTTCAACCAAGATATCAAGATCTCAACAACAACTATAAACTCTCATTTGGATCCTCTTTTTTTTCTCTCTCAAGAACACCAAAAATGTCAGTTGTTATTTGTCAAGCGCAAGAAAAAATCGTCAACGAAAATGGAAGAAACCAAAGTTTCACCCAAAAAGGTGGGCTGAGTTTCCTTCAGTCTATGTCCGATATCACTGCCATTGTCCGAAACGTAGAAGACAAAGCTTATGTTCACCCGTCCGAGAAACGCTCTGTTTCTAAGCTGAGTGAGAAAAGCTTAGAGATGTGCACTGAGAGCCTTGGGGCCGAAACAGGAAGCGAAAGTGGTGACGAGTTGTCGTTGCTTGCGTTTGAAGCAACCAACATTACTCCTAGGGTTCCTTCTCATCCTCAAGAGCAAGAAAAGGACACTGACTTTCCTCCCAAGAAATCAACTATCAAAAGTTTCCCGCCACCGATAAAGTTCGTTAAAGGATCAAAGTATAGTCGTGTGGTGAGATCTCTAGGAGAAGATGGTCGTGTTGTTGTTCAAGCAATTACGGTTTCGTCTCAGCCTCCTAACTTTGTCGCGGAACGTGGTGAAGGAAGGCTCCGTCTCTGTTTATCACCGGAAAGTTCTTTAGTTGGGCACGATCATGAGGAAGAAGAAGAAGAGGAGGAAACTGGTGAGAACTTGGAGGGTAAAAATGGAAATAAAAACTTCAGCAGATTAAGCAGCAGATGCAAGGAGAATGGTCGTGAGCCTAAGTCAATGCTTACTTGGAAGCAGCAGCAGTTTTGGGTCGCCACTTAGAAGACCTAGTTCCACTCCAATCTTTTCATAAAATAATTTTAAGAAAATATATGTGTTTCTTAAGTTTAGTTATGTATAACATTTGCTTTTCTTGTATGAGATTTCTCTAGGTAATGAGAGTGTTTTGTAATTCTATTTTGATGTAATGTTAAATGAGAATTATTATTATTGATTTTTAGTAGTCATAATAGTTACAAGAACAACAACTTAAAATTGTACTATTTTCATTTTATGAGGGAATAAACCAAAAAAAAGCTAGGAAAATGTCCTTTAGGAAGCTTCCTATAATCATTTTTCCCAAAAAAAAAAACGTAACTCTTATAACTCATGTTATCTTTCACATAATCCACACAACTTTTAATTGTACTTTTTACCCAAAAAAAAACTTTTAGTTGTAGCCAACATATATGTATTGTATTACAAAAAAAGTTTAGTCTTTTTTTGTGTAAACCAGAATAGGTTCGGGTCTTCGGCTTTAATCCCTCCTAAGTCTGAAACCAGTCTGCGTATGTATCTTTTACGGCCCTGGACACTCCTCCTTGCCCGAGAAAAATAGTTTAGTTACGTTGTAGCCAACATATATGTATTGTATTACAAAAAGCTTTTAGTTGTAGCCAACAGGCTTCTATCCATCAATCACCCCGTCCATCTCCATCTCTGCTTCAGCTCCACCTCTCCATCTTCTCCTCTGCTTTGTAAAGTTACTTTGTTTCCGTCTTTACTTTTTGTAATAAGTGGCCTCCACAAATCATGTAAATTCAAAATAACTTGGTATAAATCTTAACATTTACACCCAAAAAATGTATTGCATTTGTGTACTGTGTAGTTGAAATTTCTGAGCGGTTCATTTTTTTCCAAGACCAGAGGTGGCTAGATATTAAAGTGCATGTGTTTCTTTATTTTTTTGTCAAGCTACTTTCTGACACTACTATAGCGTTACCTGTGGTTAAATTTGTAACAGAAGTTTTATACTATATTATATAGTTCAAAACGACTATGCAGTGCATCATTTTTCGTTGATTATGACGTGCGTAAGAGAAAACATATGTGGTACGTACAAGCCCCCACATGAACATATGAGAGATTGCTCCCACACGCCCACATGACCATCACATGCAAAATTCTATTTAATTTTCCTTTCGCTCTCATGTTGATTCTGTTTCTGATTTTCCCTTGTACGAAATGTGAGGACGCTCCTTTACTTCTTTTTGATCCTACCTTTCTATTTTTTTCGCATTATCATATCTTATAGAAGTGCTTATTGAACTCCTCGTTAATGCACTTACTTAAACCATAGCACAAGAACGTAAAGAGCATGTGCTACAAAGGTAAATGGTTTGTTGGGGTTTCTAGGAAACTTGTTGGTTTAAGACCATATATCAAGTTCCATCATGTTTGCACCAACAATTAACAGTCTATTTGGTTTCCTCTTGGTAATTGTAAACACAGAAAAATGGCAAAAAAAAGCCTGGATACATGATTAAGATTGACTGTAGTTATTAAAAAAAAAAACTGATTTTAGGTGTAATATATTCCCCGACATGAACGAAGGTTTGTCACTTAATAATATATACTTTACATCTTTATATATATAAAGTTCAACCAATGAGAAGTAGACAAGTTATAAATGTAATGTCCAATCTAAGGTCTTAAAAAGTATGCAAATATATCAAAGGAGTACCTTTGTTTCTCTGCAAACGAATATCGAGAGAGAGGACTATGTTTGTCTCTGGTTCTATGCGCCACTTGATGCTTTTTATTGACCCACTATCTCATGCGGCACCCATTTCTGTGATCTTTCTTATTCTATATCAAACACTATTTTTCTCCTTTATTTTGATTACTTTCTATTTTGGTAACCTAATCTCATGCATCAACCAAAATAAGACACTAATCTATTTTGTATTGGTAACCACCATATACATATAAAGCCCTTTCTCAGAAGAAAAAAAGACCACCATATATACATATAATTTGGCAGAAAAAGAGAGACAACGGTTATGCTTTTTCAACGTAGTGGTTAACTTAAGTATATATGCACATTCATCAGAAGTTTGACTACATTAATAAAATTTTTTTTTTGCTAAATTTTCTACATTAATAATGTTTCCACCAATGCATGATGAATATCCTTCGTCACACGACAAGTTAATGTTTAAACAACATTTGCTTTCTTTCCTTAATGAAGTGAAGTTAGTCCTAGCTAGTTGATCAACATGTTCATCCATCAAACTGTTGACTACATTGTTCATTGCACACATTACAACAAGAACCAAGTTTCAAAAGATTTAGCTATGCTTCCTTAACAATAGGATGAAACTTATTTTAGAGGAACCCCAAAATCTGAAACGGACATAAACACTATTTAAAACCTACATCATCATCTCTAATATAGAAATGACTAATTTAAAGGTTGAACTACTTAGCTTGATTATTAGAAAATAAAAAATAAAACCTTAATACCAACACACATATTTGGGCTGAAAATGGGTCCAATTATGGTTGGCAAAGAACGTGCAGCGAGCATATCGGTTCCCTCTATTCGGCCCAAGCCACGCGCCACTGTTGATCTGATTCTTGGAGCAACTCCAGTGTAAGGGGTTGAATATGAAATTAACAAAGTATAGGGATTAATTTGTCATTCTGATTCTCTCAAGGGTTTGGTTCGTCTTTATTTTCCCCGAGCGAACCATTTCTTCTTCTCTCCCCCCCCCGCCTACCGACTTTTTCAAATTTCCGGAGCAGCACAAACACGCAGGTTTGATCTTCGATCGCGATAGAGATGGCGGAAGGAGAAGGAAGTACAGAGGAGAAGTACGACGTAGACATCGCGGCCCCCGCTTCTTCACTCGGCGGCGCCGGCGTCTTCCATATCGTCAATGACATTATCGGTTTCGTCCTCTATATGTACCAGCAGATCCCTTCGTATGTCATCTTCCTGTTTTCATATCGATTTCCTTCTGGTTTGATGTTCGATCTGCTCGATTTCACGCGATTAATTAGTTGGTTTTTACAAGGATGGAAGCTTTCTGGTTATGGATTAGTGTAGATTTAGGATGGATTAGTGTAGAATTAGAGAGATCAAATCTTGGTAGGTGAATTTATTTATGCCTAAATCCTAAAGGGAAATTGAGAAACTCTGAGGCATGTTTCTTCATTTTGTTCATCTTTATGCTACATTCATTATTAGCCTCTTGCTATGAGTGTATCTATTGGAACTACTCCCAAAGGTCGTGTTTAACCCTCAGATTGATCACACACTATAGCCAGTTGTTTTAACAACAAAATACGTATCTTACTATCTTTTGTGTATTGGCGTTTATTAAAAAATCAAAGTTGATCCAAAACTTGTTTCTGGTCACTCTTTTACAAATTTTCTTATTGGTTGGATACATGTGTGTGTGCAGGGTGTTGCAAGACATGAGTCTTGACTTTGATGGACTGCAAACAGAGTTTACTGATTTGGTATTTTGCTTCTACTGACACACTTTTTTACTCTACGCTTACGTCTTTTTTTTCACACTCTAAGAAACTTAGGTTGGTAGGAGGCGCATCTTACACAACCAGATGTGAAGCCGCTGGTCAGGAGAAAACTCATGAGTAGAAAAAGAGAGGTTAAGCTTGAAATAAAGAAACTGCAGAAACTGATGACCACCATCTCTAGTCTCCGAAGCGCTCTCCAGTTATTGATCCGTGAAGCTCCTCACATTCACAGAGTTGTGTTGATTCTTGGTGCTAGTCCTTTACGGCCTCATAAAGCTTATGAGTTGTTATTCACACACGGTGGTAATGTTTTGAGCTTTGAAGGTGACTTTTCCAAAAGCAAAGCTACAGAAGCACTTTCGAAAAAGGTTTATACCTTCGTACCCCTGAGTTCTTGTTAACCTGTTATTAGAGGTATAAAAACAAAATGTTAATCTCTTCATTCTTATTGGCTTTATAGACTATCCGATCACTGATCTCGACGGGTGCTGGATCAACTTCGTGCCCAGGTAACTTTCGCAGATATCTCAAACTTCATCAGAGCATTGTTTATTAGCTGTCAGGTGAATGGTGGTGTGAACTGTAGAATCGATGCATTTCCCTTGTCTTCTGAATTGCAGGTCCAATGAGGCTCTTCATATTGGTACAAGCTCCACCTTCTTTAAATCTTCCTCAACATTTCCTTCCTAAACGTGACTTTAGATACAACAGAAAGGTACAAGACTTGTGCTAGTTATATATCAGCTATTCATATATCACACATCCAAGTAAAGATTTTGATTTCGATCAAATATGCCTTTGTTATTGCAGTTTGTGCCTCTCAAGTTGCGGTTCAAATGCAAAACTCAAGATAACGAGACAAGTTCTCCGTTCAACTCTGGCACAAATGATCCAATATGGTAAGTTCTCTGTTCACCTCCGCCACTTAACAAGTACAGTTACTCACAGGATCATCTTGATAATCCCCCATCGGTTTCACTGCAGGTTTCAGTGCCGACATGTGATAAAGGGCTTAGCTTTCCAGCAACCAGTTGACGAATAATATGACTTAAAAGAGTTTTTGTTTCTGTCTATTGCAACTACTCTGTATCACTTACTCGTCTTCTGATCCAGTACTCGTTTAGGGTTTATTCACACATTTCTAGACTTGTCTGTTACATTTAAGAAAGAAACCAAAAATATCTAGCTATTGTGTAATATTGCATACTCTTTAAGTCTATTGCATAATAGTAAAAATACAAGTGGTCAGAATATGAAGAAAACAGGAAAAAGGGGTCAAAAATCAAATTTCTCTTCTATTTCTTCAAAATTCACACTCGCAGATCGTTCCTTCTACTTTGAAGCTGATACAGGTTTTTCTCTCACTCCGTTAACAACACCAAAGCTTCTATTCTCGCCGGTAATCCTACACTTTTCTCGTTTAAGTATTCCGACTCGAATCTCGCCGTTAAACTTTATACGTATTGTAGCTGGAATCGCCTGTTTGATTAGTTAATTCCTCTTTTAGGGTTTTTAAGTTTGCTAAGTGTCGTTCCGATTTCGATTTTGAAGGTCTGAGGAGGAAGAAGATGATCTTCAAGATCGAAGACGTAACAGTCTACTTCCCTTATGACAACATATACCCAGAGCAATACGAATACATGGTCGAATTGAAGCGAGCCCTAGACGCCAAGGGACATTGCCTTCTCGAGATGCCTACCGGAACTGGCAAAACCATCGCTCTCCTCTCCCTCATCACAAGCTACCGCCTCTCCCGTCCCGATTCTCCGATCAAGCTCGTCTACTGCACTCGTACTGTCCACGAGATGGAGAAAACGCTCGGTGAGCTTAAGATCCTCCATGACTATCAAGTACGCCATCTCGGTGCCCAGGCTAAGATCCTCGCCCTCGGTCTTTCCTCTAGGAAGAATCTTTGCGTCAATCCTAAGGTTTTAAAGGCGGAGAATCGTGACTCAGTGGACGCTGCGTGTAGGAAACGGACGGCTAGTTGGGTTAGGGCTTTAGCTGCGGAGAATCAGAATGTTGAACTCTGTGACTACTTTGAGAGCTACGAGAAGGCTGCTGATAATGCCTTATTGCCTCCTGGTGTTTATACTTTAGAGGTATGGATGATTAAATATGGTTGACCTTATTCTGGATATGTTTGGCTGATGTGTGTTTTTGCTGTTAGGATTTGAGGGAGTTTGGTAAGAACCGAGGATGGTGTCCTTACTTCCTTGCCAGGCATATGGTTCAGTTCGCCAATGTTATTGTTTACAGCTACCAGTATTTACTTGATCCTAAGGTCGCTGGAATCATTTCCAAGGAGTTACAAAAGGAGACTGTTGTTGTGTTTGACGAGGCTCATAATATTGATAATGTTTGTATTGAAGCACTCAGCGTCAGTGTGAGAAGGGTTACACTCGAAGGAGCTAATCGGAATCTTAATAAGATTAGGCAAGAAATTGATAGGTACGCTGTTATTTTCCTAATCCTATTGTTCAATATAGGAACTGCCTTGGTTGTGTGCTGATACTTTATTTTAAATTCTTATCACACTATTAAAATTGTCTAACTGGTAGGAAGGTTCAAGGCTTCAGACGCTGGAAGACTGCGAGCTGAATACAACCGGCTAGTTGAGGGTTTGGCACTGAGAGGGGACTTATCTGGTAAGCGTTTTTTTTTTTTATAAAAAAAGCGAGGTGATGCGTGGTTTGGATGATTCTATGAACTTCACGGAACATATACTTTTTTTTCAGGAACTGATCAATGGCTTGCAAATCCTGCACTGCCCCATGATATTCTTAAGGAGGCTGTCCCAGGGAATATTAGACGGGCTGAGCATTTTGTGCATGTGTTACGCCGATTACTTCAGTACTTGGGGGGACGGCTGGATACTGAGAACGTGGAGAAAGAAAGCCCTGTTAGCTTTGTCTCCTCGCTTAATTCTCAGGCTGGAATCGAGCAGAAAACACTCAAGTTCTGTTATGACCGGCTCCATTCTCTCATGATGACCCTTGAAATTACAGATACTGATGAGTTTTTGCCTATTCAGACAGTATGCGACTTTGCAACTCTTGTTGGGACATATGCACGGGGCTTTTCCATCATCATTGAGCCTTATGACGAAAGAATGCCTCATATTCCAGATCCAATATTGCAGGTCAGTACGTGTTGATCTGCTTTCTTTTGAGTATTATATTTTTGTTCTGGTTTCAGAGATATTGCGACTCAAATGTAAATTGTACCGTTCAAGTTATTTATTGAGAAATGTATCTGAAACATATCTTCTTTTGTATCTTAGTTGAGCTGTCATGATGCGTCTTTGGCTATAAAACCGGTGTTTGATCGTTTCCAGTCAGTAGTGATTACATCAGGGACCCTGAGCCCAATTGATCTTTATCCCCGTCTTCTTAGTTTCAATCCTGTTGTTAGTCGAAGCTTTAAGATGTCGATGACACGAGACTGCATCTGCCCCATGGTTTTAACTCGAGGAAGGTATAAAAAGAAGTTCATAAACACTGACCTTATTGTTTGTGTTTAATTTGTATATTAGTAGTGATTATTTCTTGTTGCTTTTGCAGTGATCAGCTTCCTGTGAGCACTAAATTTGACATGAGAAGTGATCCGGGTGTTGTGAGGAATTATGGAAAGCTTTTGGTAGAGATGGTATCTGTTGTTCCTGATGGAGTTGTCTGCTTCTTTGTTAGTTACTCATACATGGATGGCATTATTGCTACATGGAATGAAACTGGAATTCTGAAGGTAAGGTCCTTCTTCCACGCTTTACCATGTCAGGATTATTTTCACAGGCTTTGCATGAAGTGGAAAAATATTGTATGATATCTTAACATGTATATTTGTCGCAGCTACAGACATTAATGTATACTTGTTTACTGCTCTTAATATTATGTAGGAAATAACGCAACAGAAACTTGTCTTCTTCGAAACGCAAGATGTTGTAGAAACAACATTGGCACTGGACAATTATCGCAGGGCTTGTGATTGCGGAAGAGGTGCAGTTTTCTTCTCTGTAGCCAGGTAAAAAGGGTTATTTTGGAACTCATGGCAAGAAACTTCTGCTTCTGCATCTTTGATTCTGTGGTTATGTATACTGGATCCATCTCGTATGGAAAATTCAAACAGATTGATCAGGTACTGTATCTGAATGGCAGGGGGAAAGTTGCTGAAGGTATTGATTTCGATCGTCATTATGGAAGACTGGTTGTAATGTTTGGAGTGCCTTTTCAATATACATTAAGCAAGTAAGTTATACCCAAAAATAGATATTCATCCTTTCATTTTTCCGGTTTACTGGGTCATGTGTGGAGATGCTAAGATTAAATATTTTCAGGATATTACTTGCTCGATTGGAGTATTTGCGTGATACATTTCAAATAAAGGAAGGCGATTTCCTAACTTTTGATGCCTTGGTATGGTTCAAATTTTATGATCTTATGGGTTTTGGTGCAAAAAATGATTTACTCTATCTCTATTGATATATTTTTGGTATACAACAGAGGCAAGCAGCTCAATGTGTGGGGCGAGTAATCCGGTCAAAGGCTGATTATGGGATGATGATATTTGCAGACAAGAGGTAAATTTATGTATACATACTGTGATTCGGAGTCTGGTCATTTAGGTTCTTGCTAGTTGCTGCGAGTGACTTTCTGTAACACATTGTGCCTAGTTATGTAGGTAGTTACTTGTTAGTGAGAACAAAGTGATAGGGTTTATGATCTCTCACATGTCTTTGCTCTAATTAAAGCTCGCCGTTGCAAACTTGTAGATATAGCCGTCACGACAAGCGGTCCAAATTACCAGGTTGGATACTATCGCATCTGCGTGATGCACACTTAAATCTAAGCACTGACATGGCTATTCATATTGCCCGAGAGGTAAACCTTTTGATTTTACACAGCTGAGGAAACAAATAATTAAGTTTTTTTTTTTGTCAATTTGGTCACTTTGGACCTTTAATCCTCAAACGGAGGTAAGGAGGGGTCGAACCCCTAACGTCAGGGCCCGAAGGCAGAGCTCAGTTGCCACTTGGCTACGAACAACCCGACAAACAAATAATTAAGTATATTAATAAGTTTGGGGGTGTGTGTTTTGTTGCAGTTCCTGAGGAAAATGGCTCAACCGTATGATAAGACGGGTACTATGGGCAGGAAAACTCTGTTAACACAAGAGGATTTGGAGAAGATGGCTGAGACCGGAGTGCAAGACATGGTTTATTAGTAAACCTATTACAGCATTTCTTTCGGTGTTGTTCTACCTTTTATATTTGATTTGGGGAAAATAATTAGTTGGTTTTTGATTTTGTATTGGTTTTGGTTAAGCATACTCTCTATAATATACACTAGTCCTGTTTTGTATTTTTTTGTGATCTTCATATTAAAAGTTTTTTATTAAATTGAAGACTCGAAATAACAGAAAACGAGTACATTATACAAATAAAATGATTATCATAAGGTGATTAATACTATAAATCAGCTCAAACGTATCATAGCCAAATATTTGACCAAATGATCTTCCATCCGATCGTAGCAGAGGTTCTCTTTGAAAGAGAAGTAAAATCATGATGCAGTGGAAATGAAGTTGAAGTTGGCACAAGTGGTTTGACGGCCCAATAGCGTCGAACTAAAGCCTAATGTGTTGCTTGCCAAGTCAATTTCGATCAAATTGTCTTCCAGCTGTAACCCTCCGAGGACGATGGAGGTTTCCGCATACTCTCCTCCGTCAACAAAACCCAAACAGATGACGTCACGGCTGACGCTCACCATGGAGTTAGCTCCGAGGATTCTCCACACGACGTCCTTGCTCTGCAGCACAAGCTGGATCTCTGGCACAGCATATCCAAGGCGCGTGACAACCACGTTCTTAGAGCTGAAACACGCGCCAAAAGGCTTCACCGATGAAACTCGAGTGATGTTCCTCGCGGTGGCTTCTCTGAGGAACGCCGACGTGACGGCCTTGAAAATAGATGTCTCCAACACAGTGTAGGGGTTCACCGTGCTGAGTTTGGTTCCTCCCAATCCGGTGGTTCCGTTGATCTTCAAGAGCTCCGTGTTGATCGGAACTGTTTTCTCGGCGATTTTGATCGCCGTTACGCCGATGTAATACTCAGGTGATTTCTCGCCGTATACAAACGGAGAATAAATGATGGGGTCCGCAACGAGCACTGGATTGAGGAGCAACGGCGTGGTGGTGAGCTGGGAGATCTCGATCCCCGGGAGGAACACGTAAGGTCCGTTACCGAAGAAGGCGACGCCTCTTCCTCCTCCAGAAGAAGAAGAAGGAAGACACACTGCGAATTTGCGGTTGAAACCAAAGGCCTTGGCGAATTGCGACGGTAGTCCGATGACGGGGTGGCGTCCCATTCCAGCCATACCGACGGTTCCATTAGCAAGTCCCTTAAGGAGATCCATTGTTCCCAAAGAGAGAATCAAACTGGGGATTTTCACCCGACCCGGATTGGAACCGTTAGTGGACTGAATAAAAACAGCTTCTGAAGCAATGTCTCCCGTATCAACCATTCCGTTGACGGGGTTTTTGAATGTTAGGGTGCAAGGGTCTGCGTTACAGCCAGGTCTGTAATCAGAGAAGCAACGGCTACATCCATGGGATCCGGCGCGGTAGCACATTGGGGAGTTGCAGTGGCTGGTTTGGAATGAAGTGGACCAGTAGTATGTGTCGGTTTCGACCCAGAGATGTCGACCACCCAGGTCCAATACAAGGGAGGCGGCCACTAGAGGTGTGCCTGGTTTGTCTCGAGACGTGCCGGTGTTGATGACGATCGTGTATTGGAGGGTAGTTTTGTCTTTTGTTATGGGGAGGACGAGAGCATTTGGTCGGGAAGATTGTTTAGCAAATGAGCTTGTTGGTGATGATGAGATTGAGAAGATGAAGAGAAGAAGAGCTGAGAAGATGATCCGAGAAGAAGCCATTAGAGATGATGAAGTGAGGAAGAAGATTGTTGTGTATATGAGTGTGACAGTGTGTGTGTATTTTTATAGGGGGAAAATTCGATATGTTTGATTACTTTGAAGAGAAGCGTGAGATATGGCTCCCTGAGTTTGATCCTCTTTTATTTTAAAACTACACAAAATCAAAACCATTATCTTTTTGGGGTTATTAAACAATTATATTTGACAAAAAGAGAAATTGCTATATTTGTTTAGTTCAACTCATACTACTGTACTTGTCCTCTTGGAGTAGATTGGATGTCCATTTCAAGTTACATAGTACATTAACTTTTCGAAAAGATCTAAAAGTTGCTGATGGGCCAATGGAAACTTAAGTAGAGAAAGTTGATACTGTTATCTGCAACGTGGATGCAGCATGGGATGTCCATACTAGAAACTGCGGTATTGGTGTCATCTTCTCAGGTTGGAGCCCGAGCTCGAAACCTGATCCTATCTGCGAGTCTCGCAGCTTTGTTGTATCGGCGTTAATGGCTGAAGCCCTCGCCATCCGTTCGGCGGTTATGTATGCTGCCTCTTCGAATATTCGATCCTTGATGATCCTGTCCGACTCTCAGTCCTTGGTTAAGCTACTTAAGGAAGGAGGATCGTATCCAGCATTGTTTGGTATCTTGTTCGATGTCTATCACTTTAGCTCTGTTATTGGCTCTGTTTCTTTTGCTTTTGTACCTCGTTTAAGCAATGTGATGGCTGATTTGGTGGCAAAATCAGCTCTTTCATTGCTTAACTCATCCTCCTCTAAAGGAGTGTAGACCTTTTATTTATGAATTGAATGAATGTGTGTTTGATCAAAAAAAAAAAAAAAAGTAGAGAAAGTTGAATGTGTTAGGAACTAGGATGCACATATGATTACTCAATAGCATGCTTCCTTGGTAATATTTATATTACTAAATTTATATGGATTAATGTGTTACTTATTCGTTATATTTTATATTATATAATACACTATGATAGAGAAAATAAACTAGTGGAAACACCATGGATGATGGACGTAGCGTAAGTGGTGCAGTGCAAGCCAGCTTGATGGCTGATGCGTTTTGACCTATTATTCTATTGAACTTTATTGTTCACAATTACGAAGAATTCGACTTTCAACTTTTGATTCTACTTAGTATCTTAAACTTGTTTACAACGTGATGTATTTGATTCGTCCTAAGACGAGCAATTAACACGAAATATTTAATGTTATCTCATGTGAGTACCGAGAAACATCATAAGACAGAAACAGATCTTGGCATATGGGATTTGATTTATTTGACTGGGATTCATATCTTTATAGATCGGGACCTACTTAAAAAATAAACCCAATTATGCAGTGCATATTTCTAGCATGGACCGCGGACACATTTCATGTACTTCAACGCGTCCAACAAGCTGGCCTCTGGACGTGTTCATACATCAAAGAATCATCTGGGAAATGATCCGTTTTTATGGAAAGCTTCTGGTAAAATGTGTATCTATTGTTCCTGATGGAATTGTCTGCTTCATTTAATTACTCATACATGGATGGCATTGTTACTATTTGCCATCCATTATCCATAACAAGAAACACATACTTAGAAATGACACTGGCATGTTATAACAAGAAAACATACTCGAGATTCTAAATAGGCAAAAGAACATGAAACTCTCTTATCCAAAATTGCGAAGTTTCTACTTTTTCTTTAGGATGACTACAACTAGAGTATAATGTTAGAAGAGCTAGAAATTTTTTTATTTTTGGAACAATTCTAAATCAGTAGTGCTGATTGTATATTTAGTGCTCTTTAAGAGATGTATCATATTATGTTATGATATGCTGAAACACGCTAGTAGCTTACGTCACAATCACATAGTCAATTGTCTTGTATTCAAGAGTAAAAAGTTCAACATCTAATGTGTCAACACAATCCTCATATCAGAATGGATTAGGCTGATTAGTTTAGTAATCTTGTGGTTTTTGAACAGAACACAAAATCATAGAGTATGTATTAATTTTATTCAAACATCACAACATGATCCAATATAAAGTAATAAAATTTGCCAACAAATTATCCATAGGCTCCTTTATTAACCACAACAAACATATAACCACTGAAAACATCTTTTGTTATTTATTTAGGAAACGATCAAATAAAATTAATCAAGCAGTGGAGGTGAAATTGAAGTTGGCACATGTAGTTTGACGGCCCAATAACGTGGAGCTAAACCCAAGCCTGTTACTCGCCAAATCGATCTCAATCAAGTTATCTTGCAGTTGGTACCCTCCGATTACCACAGAGGTTCTCGCGTTGACTCCTCCGTCGACAAAACCCAAACAGATGACGTCATCACTAACGCTGACCATGGAGTTAGCTCCGAAGATCCTCCAAATGACGTCGCTTCTGTGAAGCACAAGGTGAATCTCCGGCACAGCATACCCAAGGCGCGTGCTTCCGACGTTCTGCGTGCTGAAACACGCGCCGAAAGGAGCAACGGACGCAACTCGAGTGATGTTCCTCCCGACGGCTTCTCTAATGTAGGCGGACGTGAATGCGTTGTAGATAGACGTCTCCAACACAGTGTATGGATTCACCGTGCTGATCTTGGTTCCTCCCACTCCGGTGGTCCCGTCGATCTTCAAGAGCGTCGCGTTGATCGGAACTGTTTTCTCGTCAATTTTGATAGCCGTCACGCCGATGAAGTACTCCGATGATTTCTCTCCTGATGGAAACGCTGACGCAGTGCTCACAGGGTTTATGAGCAAAGGCGTGGTTGCAACGCTGGAGATAGGGATCCCGGGGAGGAACACGTAAGGTCCGTTACCGAAGAAGGCGACGCCTCTTCCGTTAGTGAGACAGATGGCGAACTTCCGGTTAAAGCTAAACGCGGCGGCGAATTGAGAAGGTAAACCGATGTTGTGGCGTCCCATCCCAGCCATACCGACGGTTCCACTAGCGAGTCCTTGGAGCAGAAACGTTGCACCGCAGACGAAAACCAAGTCCGGGATTTGAACCACCCGACCCGGGTTGGATCCGTTGGTGGACTGGATAGACACTACGTCTGTAGCGATTTCCCCGGAAGTCGCGGTTCTGGTGACGGTGTTGTCGGGAGTTCCGCTGCAGGTGTTGTTGTTGCAGCCGGGTCTCTGAGGAGAGAAGCACTCGCTGCAGCCGGATGAGCCGGCGCGGGAGCACACGGCGGAGCGGCAGCGAGGGGATCGGTAAGTGGAGGAGACGTAATTTCTGTCGCAGTCTACCCAGAGATTCCGACCACCGAGGTCGAAGACGACGGAGGCGGGGACGAGGGGAGTGCGTTGGTTGATGACGGTTGTGTATTGGAGGGTGGTTTGGTCTTTGGTGACAGGGAGGACGAGAGCTTTTGGTCGGAATGATGGTTGAGCGAAAGAGGTTGAGAGTGAGATGATCAAGAGAAGAATAAGGGAGATGAAAGGTGAAGACGCCATTGTAGATGATTTGAATTGAAGAAGAAGGTTTCTGTGTGGTTGTATTTATAGTGGGAGGTTTTGGGGTTGAGTGTCGGCAATATTTGAATAATTTGATAATGGTGTGACGTTATTGACTTTGATATTTTCATGTGATATGACATATATGGTTACGTGATTTCGCGTCTCTTTGTGTTAAAGTGACACAAATTCAGCATTTCTTTTGGGTTTTGGGTTTAGTTTAGATGAGTTTAGATTTAATAATAGTATAAGGATTCAAGCTAAAACACATTCGGATGCCATATTTACCTCTATTGTACTTGATGTTTTAATATTTTTGAGTTAGTGTTGTGCTTCTCAGTTGGCTAATCATACGTGATCAGCAGTAACTGAGGAAATAGATAGATAGACGAAAACACCGTGGATGTTCATAGAAGTAAAGGTAGGTGACGCAACGCCAGCCTGATGGGTGCCTTTCTTGACTTTTTGACTTCTATCTTTTTTTTTATTCGATTTATATTTGATTTTCGCAAATTATTAATCTTTGTTTTTGGGTTTTATAAACTAATGCATCCGTTGTTGTTCCGACACGTCCACAGACGTTTCTGGATAATCTAATCATCTTTAATATCATCTCTTATCAGCATCTAATTCCAAATTCCACGGTTTGAAAATTTTGTATTTTAATCTAACACTCCTTTTGAATAAAACAACCTGAAGATAGCATTACCAAAACAATGCATGCTAATCTAAATCCAAGAAATAAATTAAATATTATAGTTTGTCCACAAAATCAACTAGTCTTGTTTCTAATATATCTCTACCAACGTAAGAAAGAGTTTGGCTTGTCCAAACAAAATACAAAACAAAGGATGAGCAATGCATTAGTAAAATTTAGTGCATCCACTATTGAGTATTAAGAAAATAGAAGATTTTAATACACAATTATGAGTTAAGGTAGCAAAGTAAATGGTAGATTCAAGCCTACTAGTTAATGATATTCTCCATCCCTCCCTCTGTTTCAAAATGTTAAATGTTTTATAATTTTTACACATTAAAATTTTTTTTATGAATTAGTTTTTGTAAGTAACTATTTTCTATAACTTTTAACTAATAGAATTTTAATAAACACTTTCCAATTTACAATTTAATATAAATTGATGTTTTGAAAATGTTAAAAATAAATTATTTTGAAACAAAAAAAGTTTCTATAATATGGAACATATTGAAACGAAGGGAGTTATACAATGTTCTTCAAAGAGGCTACTATTAATGAGATTGACATTGTATGAAAAAAACCGACAACACACATTGATTGCGGGGTCTTATCAAATTAATGGATACTAGAGATTGACCCGCCCTCTTGAGGGCGGGTATATTTTTTGTTTTTAAATTTTTTTGCTTCATATAATATGTTTGTGTGTTTGTATAATCATATTTGTGTATGATATCAATTTAATATATAAGATAATTTTGTGTCATATACGTTTGGGTATCATATTTTATTAGAATTTTACTATTTATATAGTATCATTCTTTGTAACCATATTTATGTTTTTTTTTGTAATCATAATTATGTATTTACTTGCAATTAATATTAATGCAAAATAATTTTTTTAATTGATAGTAAGAATTATGATATTTATATTGAAATAATGATGTTGCATAACTATACACTTCATATAGCCATTTAACACATTAATTTTATATTATATTTTATTTGTTTTAATTTTGTTTATTAATCAAGTAATAATTAATTATGCAAATTATATGTTTTTTCAAAAAAAATCATTTTTTGATTCCATATATTATTATTACACATAATGACATAATATTACATGGGTCAAAGTATATTACACAAAAAAATATCTCTATTTAAATTGGCTTTTTTTTTTAAAAAAGTTGAGTTTAAATTAAAAATTAAAAAGTGTTAAATGGCTCATTGTTAATTTTTAAAAAGATAATATATATACATGGAAATAGTTATGACGTTCGTAAATATGGCGAACAGAAAAAGCCCACATGAGTCTACCTTCTTCCAAAGCCAGTCTGTTGCTTAAAGCTTTTTTTGTATTTTTATAAATTGGAAATCGAAATGAAGGCCCATGGGCCAATATTTTTGTTTTCCGACAGAACATGGGTATTGTCTTTATCTTTTTTTTTTGTAAAGTAATGTTAACCTAATTTTCTTGTCGGTGGAAGCTGAAAATGAGCTTCAGTATCTCTCATCTTTTCTTGTTCACAGATAGATCTTTTGAAATCCGAAGCTCCATCAAATAATTCTCAGTGATTCTGTTCTCAAAAGGAATCTCATTCTTTAGCTTCTTGTGGTCATCGACGTCATAAGGAATCTCATTCTTTAACTTCTTGGAAAGCAAACCTCTTCT